CAAATCGAACCTTGGCCTTCTCCAAACTATGCCTCTAACCTTGAAATTCACGCGCCGATCTTCTCCAGGTTGTCACTTCACCCTCCGACCTTTTTCGTGGCCTTCCTTTTAGTCTTCCTTTACTCTCCATTCTCAATACATGAGCATCCCATCGAAGTCTCTGAAGTTTAACAAATTCTGAGATCGGTGCCTCTTTGAACATTTGGTAAAGTTCAAATTATTTGATAGTGTGTCGATGTGTTTAAGGCAGGTTGTGTGTTTTAATGAGAAAGGGAAATTTGACAAAAGCAAATTTGATCGTTTAAGGGCTCTTAGCACAGTACTTTTAAATTAGCAATAGTATAATAAATAACACTGGGGATCTTTTGCATGCCGCAAAAGACAGAAAGAAGAAGAAGAAGCAATAGTATTTTTGACTATTGATAATTGAATGAATATTTTTTATTTACTAACCACCTAATATTGAACACAAGTAATGGCGTTGTTGCCACGCGAGACTTGGAAGTGGCAAAGTTGCCACTGCCAAGTCCTCGTAGACACATCGTCTTAGGACCAGCAACTTCATGTGGAGTCATACGTCGCCATGTTACCAAATCCACTGGTAACTCCAACATCCTAATATTTAATACCTTATAATGTAAATCAAATTTAAACAAACAATTTTTAACGGGTTTTTACCTACATATTTAGTGGCTCAATACATGTACACCTAGACACTGATGATGGAATATGGATTCCGAAAACGTTTTGTGATATGGCCCAATTGGGTTTTTTAAATTATATACCTTTTATAAAGGATTTTTAATAAAATTTTTTGTGATATATGGTATACAGCCATGAACTTAGATTCCTTGTGAATATTTTGTTGTAGGTACACAAGAAATACGGTTCAGCAACTTGTTTGATTTGTCAAGAGAGTGTTATATTAAAAAAGTATAATATTAAGAGGCACTATAATATAAAACATAAGATGTTCAACGATAGTTTCCCAGACGGCTCTGCATTGCGAAGAAAAAAACTGTGCGTCTTGAAAAGGTCATTACAGCAGCAGCAAAATATAATGGCAGTTTTAATGTCACAAGATGTATGACAAGTAAACAATGGGTATAATGAATAACATTTTAAATTAAAAACTACATAAGAAAGCCCTGAAATTATTATTTCTTTTACCATATAAAAACTCAGAGTATCTTATCAGCAAGATATCAACAAAAATAGCCAAACACATAAAAAGAACGGAATAACATCAACTTTCAGAACGAACAACAATTTAGGCAAATAAATTAAGAACGACAAGAGCCCAAAGAAAAAGCACTTACACAGTAGTTTTAACAAACTTAAATGTGGCGACTGCTCAAAAACATACATCGGTCAAACTGGCAGAACTTTTAACAAACGTATAGCAGAACACAAAAGGGCTGTCAATAATAGAAACACAGATTCTTCGTACGCACTTCACCTTCTAGATCATAATCATTGATGTAATACATACCCTTGATGTGGTACACTGTCATGAAATACTCTGTATATTTGTAACTGATTTTAAAATGTGAATCCCTTAGCTATCTCCTATTTTTGTAAATAACTTTTATTATTAACTGAGATAACGGTCACAAAAGTTGATCACACTGTAGTTCATATAATACAATTAATATAGATTCAATTAGTTCTTTTTCATATTTACAATGAAAGTTATAAAAACTTATTGCAATAACCTAACAAAATTAAACAAATTTTGCAACCCCAAACCTAGGTCTTGGTCTGTGACAACACAATTAAAATATTTTTATCTAACAAGCTCTTCTATAAAAGTATCCTTAATCGAAAAAGTATTTTCAATAGTGATTTTTTTACACCAAAAATTGTGGTAATTTTCGTTAGTTCTAGAAAAAAATCAGAAAATATTAGGTACATTCATCTCAATAAAAATTGTCTTTAACCCTAGTTCGTTTTTTCTCTGAATGTCGTCAATAAACAGATATGTTTCTGATACAATTTTTAAAAACAGTTCGTGATTATTTGGTGGGGTAAAATATAATCATTCAGAAAAGTGTACATCAAAGACACACAAATTCTTGCACGTTTACCACAAGTAGTATATGTGAGCAGCAATTATTTTCAATGTAACGTAAAAGAAAAGCAAACAGTATTAACAATTGGATGTTGATGAAGATTAGTTATGGAATACGACTGATAAAATGTAAAATTACATAATAAAATAATTTTATATATTCATAGCATTTCATTTGGGAACAGCTCATTATGAATTTCAGTTTCACTAAGCTACTCTAAACAGTGGAGGGGACTCAGTATTTTAAGCACCCTTAAGCTAGTGGAGGACAAATGAGCGGAATCCAATTTTACAAACTCCATATTTTTCACACATTTTTCACTAATTTATTATCACCCTAATAATCCTCCCAAACCACCCTTAAGGGGAGCGATTTTGCTGACTTAAGGTTAGAGCTAGCAGAATTAAAAAAAACTTTTTGCCTGTGTCATACTTTTTCACCATTTTTTTACTAATTTATTACCAGCTTAATAATTTTTTACCACCCTTATGGGTTGCGATTCTGCTGGATTAAGGTTCAAGCTAGCAGAATTAAAAAAAACTTTTTGCCTAAAGCAGATTTGTTCACCCATTTTTTACTAATTTGTTACCAACTCGATCAATATTTAAGCTAGCAGAATTCAAAAAAGTATTTATGATATAGCACAGTATTCTGCTAGGTTTTTACGAATTTATTACCACTCTAGTAATTATTTACCCCTCAACTACCCCTTATGAGAAGTCAATAGTTCTGTTAAGTTAAAATTTTGAGGTGAAAAAATTCTTCTTTTACAATTTCATTGTCCTCTACTTATAACTGAAGTGTTCTGTTAAGTTTTTACTAAACTTTGACCACCCTGATAATTTTCCACCCCTAAACCAATCTTATTTGGAAACGTTCCTGCTAGTTTAATATTCGAGCTAGTGGATTTAAAAAGAAAATTTTGAAATACCACAGTGTTTGCTAGGTTTTTACGAATTTATTACCACACTAGTAATTTTTTACCTCTCCTTTTAACCCTTGTGGGAAGTCAATGTTTCTGCTAGATTAAAATTTAAGGTGAAACTTACTGGGGTGGTAATAAATTCATCAAAACCTAGCAGAGCACTGTGGTATTTCAAAATTTTCCTTTTAAATCCACTAACTCGAATATTAAGCTAGCGAGAACGTTTCCAAATAAATAAGATGAGTTTAGGTGTGGAAAATTATCAGGGTGGTCAATGTGCAGTAAAAACTTAACAGAATACTTTTTTTAACAAAATTATTGACTTCCCACAAGGGGTAGTTGAGGGATAAAAAAATACTATTGTGGTAGTAAATTCGTAAAAACCTAGCAGAACATATATTTTTGCTACTTGAATATTCTGCTACCTTGAATATTAAGCTAGCGGAATCGCTTCCATTAGAATTAGGTTTGGGAAAGAAAAACTTTGTCCTCGCTAGCTTAATAGTCCTAGTATTTTAGTTAGTACAGTAAAAACGGACATTTTACAAAACAGAGCAAATTGTAAAAGTATTGATACTGTTCAAAATCTTAGTTAACGAATAGGTGTTTTTTAACAAATATCATAAGAGTAATAATTATATCTCACCCCACCGCTTTTCCATACTTATTGATTTATCGGTTAGAAAAATGTTAACGTAGTCAGTCTTGACATTTAGACGTTCGTAATTTTCTAAATGTGACTTCTAAGATTAGATGGTAGATATTGTATACCTGATATAATTCTGATGTGTGTCAGATCTCATTTAGGCCTAGCTCTACTATTACCTAAAACATAAATATATTTTTTGAACAATGTCGTCCACATCGTACATGATTTAACACGCGTTTTCCTTATTGTACCCGAAAAGGTAAATATGGAATGTCTTAGTATGTATATATTGTTAAGATTAAATGAGTATGATAAATAAGTGTGAGTATTACAAAATATATAAAGTATACATGGTTTAAACGAACTCAAAATCATACTAGCTATGAAGAATGGAGTGTTTTTTTGTGAAAATTACTACATAATATGAAAGTTTGGCGAATTTGGGGTTGTCCCAGAAATAAGATTGATATCAAAGGGTAAAATAAAATAAATATAATTTCTTAATTTCATACAGGATGAATTAAAATCTGAAATATAATTATATTGTTCAGTAAACGTATTGTGATTGTTCAATCATCATTTTTATTGAAAATGGGTTTCTAAAATAGGGGGATGCATTTATTATCCTTGATTATACTTGTCTATTTCCACATTTACTTCGATTTTTTACGTTATATTTGTAAGTTATTAGTGGTTTGAAAAATTTTCTCTAGCTTCAGAGTGGTTTTAATTGTATATCGTGTCAGTGGCGGTCTCAAGGGGGGGGGCGATGGGGGCGATCGCCCCCCCCCAGAAATCTTAATTTGTACTAACATAAAAAGGTGTGTCGGAATATGCACGGATGGTTGTAGTGTAATGATATCAGAATCTAAAGGAGCTGTGCAAGAAATCAAACAGGAAGCCAAATTTGCCGTTAGAGCTCCTTGTTTCAATCACAGTTTAAATCTATCACTGTCCAAATCATCTCAAGTTCAGGCTGTTAGAAATGCAACGGGTACCATACAACAAACAGTTTCGTTCTTCACGTCTTCCTCAAAGAGAAATCAAGTTTTAAAACACTATGTAGGTGGCCAGCTACCTGGATTGTGTGAAACACGTTGGGTGGAAAGGCAAACATCGTTTTTACAATTCAGACTTAAGTTCCCTGAAATCATTCAAGCCCTGGAATCAGTAGCTTCATGGCAAGATTTAAAAGCTGCATCCAAGGCGAGAACCTTGATTTGTGCCTTACTGAACAGTACTTTCCTTATCACTGTAGTATGTATGCGCAACATATTTTCACTTAGACTGCCTTTTAGCAAACTACTTCAAAAACCTGATATTGACTTGAAATGCATTGAAACATTTTACTAACATGACCAAAGCACTTGCCAATCAACGGAACACAGCGATTGTTTGCTTTAAAGATTTGTTCCAAGAAGCAAAGGACATCGCCGAGAAGACACATTTTGATATTAGTATTCCAAGAATATCACAAGTGCTGAAGAATCGAACCAACCACGCAATTAAAGACCCAGAGACATACTTTAGAGTATCAGTGTTCCTTCCCATTCTAGACTCTGTAATAGAATACACAAAGTCTCGATTTCCTGAAGAAACATTGGAGTTGTACAATCTTCACGTATGCATGCCTGACTACCTGATAACCAACTCTGTTCAGGACATGTCTGAAAAAATTGAGTGTTTAGTAAGGAGGTAAAGTGAACTTTTTGATATGTCTCAAGCTGAAATGAAATGCTTACTGAAGGGTGAACTACAGCTTTGGGAAATGCAATGGAAAGACACGGACGAATTTCCAAAAACAGCGCTGGACGTGTTAGACACTTGTAACAGAGATTTCTTCCCATCAGCAATGCTTCTGCAGAGCGTAGCTTTCAATCTCTAAAGAGAATAAAGTCGTGGCTAAGAACACGGATGCGTCAAGACAAGTTGACTGGACTTGCTCTAATCCATGCCCATCGAGACATCCCTGTAGACCCAACGAAAGTTTTAGAACGATTCGCCAAAAGTGGCCATCGAAGACTTGAATTCGATTTGTAATTACATTCTTTTTAAAACCTTATGACTTGTTATTTTATTACTTATAACCTAATAAAACTATTACAATGTATAACGTGAACCTCCTTTTTTCCATTCTAATAGACTAATTTGTATTGTATATTTATTGCAAATTTTAACATTTTAAAAGGTAAAATGTGTTTTGAGCTCTTTCAATTCAAGCGTAAAACTAACATTGTCAGACCAAACCTCTGAAGTTTGACGTTTGTTCGTGATAACGTAAAACTACCTAAATCTTCAAAGGTTTAGAAAGATGAGACTTGCTTCATAGGCTTGCCACTGTAAAATACTATCACCACAAACCTTTTCTATTAGACTTTGAGTTGTTTTCAAAAAATTATATATTTTGAATATTTTATTTGTAAGTTAGCCGAACAATATTTACAACAAGCTTTAGATGCTAGCTTTTTTATTTTTTATTATAGTGTAAAACTGTTTCCACTGATACTAATTGTAATATTAATAAGTGATTTTCCTTTTTCTCCGTTCGTCACAACCACTAAGTGACAGTCAGTCCATATTCGGTCCATCAACTGTTCAAATGAATAAAATGCCTTTAAAACTCTCAAATTCTTGCCATGTTTTTATAAATTTTCCGGACCCCCTTTCCGGATGGGGGCTGCACCCCCAGACCCCTGCAACAGACCATCGCCCCACCCAAAATCTGACTCTGAGACCGCCACTGTATCGTGTTCGAATTTTGTCCGAATGTCTTCAATCATTAACCCTTTCGACATACGTCGACATCAACTCCTAAATTATTTTATATATATTTAAAAAACAATAGCACCAGTTTTAACTATCATTGTTAGTCCTTTAATTCCTACAGGTTATTTATAAAATACGTGCTTTCCTCTATACGACCGTAGTAAAATTATATAAAGTTTGTAACTGAAGTATGTAAAACAACTAACAAACTTTTTGCAGATTTCTGCACTAGTAAGGATAACATTCGTCCAAAATTTTTTCTAAATTTGTAGTGGTTCATTTGGTAGACAAAATAACTGTTTTAGAGGTAAAGTGAAAAAAAAAATAGATTTTCAATATAGATATAACTTGCATTTTTGTTTATTATAAAAAACGAATACAATTATAAGATAATTTTAGCGAATATCAAAAAATGAAAATGCCACCATCACATAAACAAATCACTCAGAATGGATAGTCTCCCAGCTGAACTATATAAAGAATAACATATAATAATGGCATAACAGCAGCTTGTAAAAGAAATATGAACACAGAAATACAATGATTGAAATATTGGAATACTTTGCACCATACACAAAAAAGGAGATATCTTTGAATGCTGTAACCACAGAGATATTTTCCACAGTACTATGTCACCGTATGGCACCATATGTAGAACCATTAGTAGAGAAATACCAGGCTAGTTTAAGAGGTGGTAAATCGATAATTCATCAGATTGCAACCCTGAAACAACTACCGCAGAGATAAACCGCAGAATTTGCACGGCCAACAGATGCTATTTTTTGCTCAATCTCCTCCTTAAATTTATAATTATATGGGAAATACAAACATAAAAATACAAAACAATAATACGCCCAGTCCTAAAATACGGTTCAGAGACCTGGATCCTAACAAAAAATAATGAATACATGTTAGGATGTTTCGAAAGAAAGAACTAAGGCAATAAATGACTGTGGAATGTGGAGAAGACGATACAACTTCGAACTTTATAAAATATATCAGAAACCGTCTGGTTTGGTAGAACGTCTTAGGTGAATAGGGCATGTAATGCAAATGGAACAAAATGATCCAGCTAGAAAAACGTTCATTGATAGGCCCATTGGTCAGAGAAGAAAAGGAAGACCAAAAACAATGTTACTTGATAACATCATCATCATCATCAACTAGCCTCTAACGTCCACTGCTGAACATAGGCCTCTCGCATGCTTTTCCACTTAGTCCGATTTTGCGCCATCTGAATCCAATTTGTAGTCACTCTTTTTATGTCATCTGTCCATCTCGTTGGGGGTCGACCTCTATTTCTGTAAGTTTGTATTCGGGGTCTCCATTCCAAAATTCTTTTTGTCCACCGGTCATCAACTGATCTTGCTACATGACCTGCCCAGTTCCACTTTAGTGTTGTTATCCTTTCAATAACGTCTGCTATTCCTGATCTTTTGCGTATAGTAGCATTGGGTATTCTATCACGTAGAGAAATCCCTAACATGATTCTCTCCATTGCTCTTTCCGCAACTTGTAGTTTACTCACTGTTGTTCTTGTGAGCGTTAGGGTTTCTGCGCCGTAGGTCATCACTGGCAAAATACATTGATTAAATACTTTTCTTTTCAGACACATTGGAATCTTAGACCTAAAAATATCCTTCATCCTTCCAAATGCAGCCCAAGCGAGGTTTATTCTTCTTTTCAGCTCGATTGTTTGGTTGTCTCGACTTATTCTGATCTCATAGTATTTATAGGAGTCAACTTGCTCAATATCTTTGTCTTCTACTGAGATGTTTTTGTTGTGGACTAAATTTGTCATAAATTGTGTTTTTGAAAAATTTATTTTAAGACCAACTCTTTTTGTGGCAGTATGGAGTTCTTGGAGCATTATCTGTGCCTGATCAAAGCTGTCTTGCAATAAGAACGATATCATCTGCAAATTTAAGGTTATTTAAAAATTTTCCATCTACGTTGATGCCCTTTTCGTTCCAATCTATTGTTTTACAAGCGTATTCTAGCAAAGTTGTAAATAATTTAGGAGACATGTTGTCTCCTTGCCGAACGCCTCTTTCAATACGAAAAGTCCCAGTATCTTCATTAAGTCTTACACAGGCTGTAGCATGTTGATAGATGTATCTGATGAGAGATATGTATCGGTGATCTATTCTACATTGTGTTAGAGCTTGGAGCATTTCACTTTGATTGACCCTATCAAATGATTTTTCAAAGTCGACAAAGACAAGTATCAGGGGTCTATTATATTCAATGGTTTTTTCAATCAACGACTTAATGGTTTGCAAATGATCATTTGTTCCGTATCCAGCTCTAAATCCTGCTTGCTCGCAAGGTTGATAGAAGTCTAGTTTTGATGTCAACCTATTAGTTATTATCTTCATAAACAACTTATAAACGTGAGATAACACGCTAATAGGTCTATAGTTCTTTAGCTCTGTTATATCTCCCTTTTTGTGCATGAGTACTATAACAGCTTTATTCCACTGAGATGGTTGTAACCTCGTTTGAAAGGCATAAGTTATATAATTGCGTCAATGCTTTCAATACTGTCTTTTCTCCTGCTTTAACTGCCTCAATAACGATTTGATCATCACCAGCTGCTTTATTAGTTTTCATTCTATTTAATGACTTTAAGACTTCTTCGATTGTTATTTCTGGGATATCCTCTGAACCCACATTCTGGACTTTTCTCAACTTGGTGCCGTCTTTCTTCCCCTTTTCTCTATATAATTCTGTGTAAAATTCTTCAACTACCTTAATTATCTTATTTTTATCTGTTACCACTTTTCCATTTCGATCTGCGAGCTTAACAATGTTTTTCTTACCTAGAGCTTGACATCTCTTCAGCACCTTTAAACTTTTATTTTTCTCGACAACCGTTGTAATCTTTTTTGTGTTATATTGTCGTACGTCCTTTCTCACTGCTTTATTAATATCTTTATTAAGTTGTTGTAGTACGCGTGCATTCGTATCGTTTTTGTTCTTAAGTTCTCTTCGTGCCTCCATAAGTCTTTTTGTTTCTTGACTGAGCTTTTCCTCCTTATCTCTAATAGAATTTGTATTGCACTTTTTCTCTGCGTTCTTAATAGCTTGATAACATCGATGATAACATAAGAAAAATGGGAATGCGTGCTTGGCGGAGAAATTCGCTGCTTTTTTTCCAGCGACGACGTATTGAAAAAGAAAACTCGAGGTAGTTCTGAAGAATTGCTAAGCGATGATAGAGTAGTAATGACCAAATGGTATAATACTAGAGCTGTGAACTTTAAATTTTATAATCAAACGAACACAATTTCCCTTATCACTTGGACATTTATCATCTACTCTAAAATATATAGTCTTACAGTCTTTTTTTACAGACTTGAGTGCATTGTTTTGCCTGTTTTCTGACAATTTCAGTATTTTAATAAAAATGTATATAATACAAAACTATTACGATTTTGTTTCACAATTATGCCATAAATTATGTTTACCATATTGTTAATGCAGTTTTTTACCAATGGTGTCTTACTTAATTCATTTTTCCGCATAAAAAAATGATAACACTGATCCAGTGAAAGGAGTTCTTTTAAAATATTTACAAAAAATGATTTGTTTTTATTGTTAATCTAATTTTTAAATGTTAAAAATCTATTATGTAAAACAGACAGTAATACAACTTTATGGTAAGACCTCACCATTCATTTAAATAAGGTTTTTTTTGTATTTATAAATATTGTTTTAAAAATTAATTTGTTTCTCTTGGTAAAGACTTTCTTATAGAAGAAAAGAAATGAAAATTGCCGAAACCACTACTTGAAGGTTTTAATTTGTAATATATGAAAATAATACAAAAATTGTACTTAAAAAAATGCCATCAGCAGTTATTTCTGGGACCCCTAACTGTTTTTGTTACACTGAGGTGGGAATTTTTATCAGAAATTCAATTTTTATTATGTTAACTTGAGTAGGACTAACTTTCAATAACATTAACAAGTTTTTAAACGAAATATCTAGTATATATTTTTCATGCGAAATTTTAAAATTTCGAGAAAGTTTTTATGCAGTATCGATATCGATAAAAAACAATATGCGACAAACGTAAACGATTGTATTTGATAATTTATTTCACTATACCAATGGCCAAATTTGAGAACTATTTCAACGAAAAGTATCAGAGCTCAAATAACACATTTGTACTTTTATTTTAAATTCCAAATAAGAGAACAAAGGCATTTACCTTTACTATATTTGGTTCCCACAAATAGGGAGGTGTCTTTTATTCATTTTCAGTGACAGTACTAGGTTTCAGCCGCATGCTTGGCTTCTTTAAAAATTTAAAAAGATTGGATTAACTTAATTGGAACTTGATTGAAACCTACTTAGTTTATTCTTAAACAAGGCATAGATAAATCCAGTTCTATATCATCAATTTAATGTACTAGATAAATTCAATATTGCATTGATAAATACAATTTACCGAACGTATTATAGTCTAAGGATAAGTATGGTGTATTGGTTAATTGTCCAGGAGAAGATACAGCTGTAAATGTTGCTCAAACATTTGGTTATTTAAAATTTTATCAATTTAATTCTACGTCAAACGAGAGAAGTGTATTCTTGGATTTATTTTTTCCAGCAATAGAGAACAGAATGTAGTAAACGCGAGTGATCCTCCACTAAACTTATGTCTATGTCATATTGCCTATGAATGTTGTTTAGTAATCTCAAATATATCTAATTTGTCAAGACTAGCTTATGAGGAATTTATTTATGATTATAAAAATGGCAATTACACTGAATTTCAACAAGAGATACAAAACATCAACTTTTCCAAAATGGTTTTCCCACGAACTTTGAATTTTGATATGTGAGAAAAGGTATGCTCACTCATTGTACATGAACTATCGTACCGATGCCAATTATAGTAAATTTTCTCTTCTTAGGTCAAAATACAAACCTTTGTGTGGTATATGCTTTAATCAATATGTTACAGGTATTGATGCTCAGTTGAAGGACAATTATTAATAATTTTGGAAATATGTTAATGATAAACGTTCTAGTGACAGTTTACCAAATGCTATGTTTTACAGGAATCAGTCTGCTTCTAATGGGCAAGCAATTGCTAATTGCTGTTCAACGAGTTCTTTTTTTCTGTTTATATTCCTAGGATTAATACACTTCAGATTCGTAATATCTCCATCAATAACAATTTTGGCATAAATTATAATGTCTGAAATCACTCCAATTGATATTTTTTATTGCCTAAGATCTCTTCCAGAAAACTACCTCTGGATCTGATGGTGTTCTACATTTTCTTTTAAAAATGTGTGTTTACACTGTTACATTACATTCGTCTTTATTTCTTGATGTTTAAAAGGAGATTTTTGTTGTACCGATATTTAAATGTGGCCAGAAAAAAAAACATTGAAAATTATCAAAGTATATGCACACAGTCTGCAATACCTAAATTATTCTATAGTTTGACAGCCAAACAGCTATCTTGGTTGTGCAGTGGACTTATTTCAAAGTCTCAGCTAAGTTTTTACTAAACATTTGGTTGTTTTTGTGCAAAAAAATTTAGCTACTAATTTAGTTTGTTATCAGTCTGAGCTTATGAAGAAAATCAAGGGTCAAAAACAAGTGTATGCTATACATAGAGCGATTTCAGTAAAGCATTTGATCGTCTTGATTATCAAATTCTTCTTGCAAAATTGCTTTTTGTGGGATTTCATTTTCAGATTATTGAATAGATCAAAAATTTGTTGTGTGGTTGTAATAAGAGAGTTAAGGTTGCCGGTAATATGTCAGAGTCAATAATGGTCACCTCAGGTGTTCCACAGGGGGAATACACATCATCTATTTTTATTAAATATTGAACATAGTCAATATTTAATGTCGCTTCCTAAATAAAGTTACTTATCACCTCATTAACATTTTGTTTAACTGTTGCGGATATACTAGGTCATGTTATCAAACTAGGAAAACCAAATCGAGATGCTGAAATTAAAAGAAGAACACAACTGGCATGGGGAAACTAGCACATATTTTGAAAACACCTCCATTCCTATAAACTTAAAGAAAAAGGTGTATAACACATGCATACTACCAGTTTGTACCTACGGCTTGGAGACAGTAGCCCTTACCAAAAAATCTGCTAAAAAATTAGAAACAACGCAAAGGGCAACGTAACGAATCATGCTTGGAATATCACTAAGAGACAAGATGAGAAACAACGAGATAAGACGTAGAACCAGGATTAGGGATATTGTAAAAGAAATTACAAAAATGAAATGGCGCTGGGCAGGTCACGTAGCCCGATATAATGACAACAGGTCATGGAGACTAAGAACGACAACAAGAAGCATGGGAAGACCTCAAAAAAGATGGGTAGATGACATAAGAGCAGTGGCAAGCAAACAGTGGATTAGATTGGCGCAAGATAGAGAAAGATGAAAGCAATTGGGAGAGACCTACATTCAGGAGTGGATGGAAAATGGTTGACAAAGAAGAAAAGCGAAGTTGCAGATATATTAAAACTTTTTTACATAAAAACCTTGACCATACCACTAAGCGCAGCGTTTTCAGTTTTCTAGTCATAGCCCATAATATACATACAGTATCTAGTAGACTGTTTTTATCTCGTCAAATTTCCCTTTCTTTTCAGTTCCTCTATAATTAATTTCGTCTGTCTTTAGTCTACCTTAAAAGTACCCATTAAAAATGTTTATATGAACATTTATTTCTAAGTTGTTTGCCTCTACTTTACTGATAATTGGTATTAGCAGTAAGTTCTTTTAATTTTTTCTCTCTTTATGTGATTACGAAAATATAAAAAAATATAAAAAGTCTTGTCCTTTTAGAACTTTATAATGTGGATCCATTCAGAAGGTGTTCTCATTTTCATGTCATCACCTCTCCTGTTTCATTGTTTTATTTCGATCGATTAGGTAAGGTTAAAAATAAATAAGATAAGGTTAAATTTTGACCTGCGTTGAAGGGCTTTTTTCGCTTTAAGACACATGGTTTAGGAATGAACGAGCTTGAGATCAATGACCTGCTAATTTCGAGTTTTGTGTAAAAAAGTTTTATTTTACGACTAAAGTTTCATTTATTTTGTTTATTTTGAAGTTAAATATAACCACAAAGTTTATTCATTTATTAATTATATCACGTGTATAATTTACGAACCAAAAAGCTTTTTCGGTCGAAAAATTGTGGTCCATACACTTTATTTATAATTTTTGAAATTTTAGATAATAATTAATTGTCTTCTTTTAAAAATTCGCCCATTTTTATCGAATCTCGTGACGGTAATTTACTTAGATCCTAGTTTGTTGTTATCTGTAGAAACCCATCATTAACAGTAATTATTAATTACAGCTTTTTAAAATTTATTATTTTGTTATGATTTTATTTTGTTGACTATTTTTTCTGCATTATGTAGAAAATAATTTTAATCTTAATAGCTTTCTTTGTGTAATGATTTGATATATTTTTAAACGAACCGCTTATCAATCTTTAATTAAAATTTATTGGCGCACATTTATCTTTGCACAAAAATCTGTATTTCTTTGTTTTCTTGGTCAAACTGTTATCGTTCTATTCTTCATATTCATACTCACCCCAAACATTTCCGATAATGAGCAACGAGACCTTTGTATTGTCCTTGTGTTATGACCGGCTTATTATCGCCTAAAATTACTTTTTGGCCGTTTCCTCAATACGACCAGAGAAATAATGCTACATAACAAAAACCTTTTCTTACAAAGAGATTAACAGTATTGTAATCATATTGTGATTGAGTGAACTTATGATAAATACTATAAAAATACCATGGAGCTTTGTTAAGTTCTCTTCAATTCAATAATATTTATTTTAGCATATATCGTACTTGCATAAAATGATGTATTAATGTTTTCAATTTAATTAAAACCTTGTTAATGTTAATTAAAGTTGACGTTCTTAAAAATATTCTGAGATCCAACCAGTCCGTATCTAGAACCTTAAAATACAGTCCGACCATTTAAGCTGATGTTAGCCGGGTTCGTGTTCTTCCAAACTTTCTTTTAGTATGTCTCATACATTTATTTGAAATGTCTCTCTACTCAACTTCGACATACCTCGAAGCTGTTTAGTTCCCTTCTCATATTCGGGTTCACTGAGGTTCCTCGTGTTCAAATCCGAGAACCTCGAAGGAGGATGTATTCGTTCGTTGAAGCTTGGAGCATGTGAGATACTAAAACATAGTTAAAAGTTAGTTTATATACGAAAAAATACAAAAAAAACTATTTATTAAAATCATATAATAACCTAAGACAAAGTTTGAATGTGATGAAATACGCATTTATCCTTTTATATTAAAAAAAGTAGTCAAAATGGTAACAGAAGACTACGGATTTCCATTCTCTCCATTTCACTCTACAGAATCTTAAATAAACTAGTAATTATCACTATAAGTTCGATATACAAATAATTATTCTTGTATTTTACCTCTCTTTATGGATGACCAGTTTGTATTACTTACCGTAATAATATTTTTTCCGGTGACTACTTAAGAATATATACAAATTGTAGCTTAGTATAGTAGATAGGTAGGCACTTAGTATGCATTATCTCACGTATTATGTCAAATGTCACGTTTAGTATCACTCGTCACGTATTATGTCAAGTTTTATGTCAAATGTCACGTTTTATGTCACGTCTTATGTCACGTTTTATGTCAGATGTCACGTTTTATGTCAGATGTCACGAATATGTCACGTTTTATGTCAAATGTCTCGTTTTATGTTAAATGTCGCGTTTTGTTACGTTTGACGTAAAACTTGATGTAACACGTTACTAAAACATGATATATACCTAATTTAATACGTGACATGTGACATAAAACCTGACATTTGACATAAAACGTGATATATGACATAAAACGTAACATAATACGTGGCGTCTTACATAAAATGTAACATATGACACAAAAGTGACATAATGCATACCTTCACCAAAAATGGGGTCAAAGATCAAAGTGTCCTGAAGTGGCTACCTATCTACTAAGTTTCTGAATCTTTTTTAAAACAAGATCAGTTAAAACGCATTGCGAATATCACTGGAATATGTTAGAAGATACCGATATTAAATATGCGACAATGCTAGTAGTGATGGTCATGGTAATGTTGATTACTCTAAATAATGTTTTCAAATAGCATTACTTCATTGGAGGTAATCACTATAAAAATTTTTATTACCTAAAAGTTGTTTCTTCATTGTGACTAGAATATCCACTACTACTTCTAACGTGACGTTTATTGAGAGGTGTAGCTTTAACTTTTCCCTTCCGAGATGTATAAGGTTTCCTGCCGACGCTACCAGACGGCGGTGAAGTCTCTGATGAAGATGACGAACCTTCTGCTCCACCTAAATCAAAAAAGAAGAAATATTGTGTCACGTCGTTGTTCCTTTTATTTTAACAATCGTTTCGAACAGCATTATTTTACTCTAGAAAACCAAGCTAAGAATATAAATGTTAAACTGCTGAAGAAAAACTTTTGTTCCATTTTTTAAACTTGCAAGGACACCATCACCAAGCTAAAGAAATAAGCTGGATTGGTGCTATTAGTAGCGACCTTGATAGTCGCTATGGATGTGCCCTTGTGAATAAACTCGTCATTGCTTATCGACCTTCAAACAGAGAAGATCTACTTTTATAGGCTCCAGGGGGCATATTCGTCATTTTGTGACTCCAGGTTTTTTGTTAATTTACTTAACAATCTACTACTGCAAGCGGTTATTTTACCAAGGGCTTAAGGATATTCTTTGTTTGATATTATTACAAACTTGTTCTTTTATATCATATTGGCTCATAGAATATTCTGTTTATTCGTTGTATATGTTTATATACATTTATTTGTAATATTCAACTTTAATTTTAATTAAGGATTTTAGTGTTTTTGTCCAGTTCGTGTATTTTTTGTAGAAGTAGTAAGTTAAACATTGAATATAAATTTTGCTATGCTATATACCATAACAATTTTCAATTGAAGGTTACTCATCTATAAACTGAAGTGAGAGCTTCACACAATGGCATTAATGTTAATGGTTCGTTGAATACTTTCACACATCGGTAAACTTATCAACACTTCGCTGGTATGTATATTTACGTCCTTGGAAAGAGTTGGAATGGGAGAAATAAGTTATTCTTTCGGTTTCTTCATCATCAAGCGTCCATATCTGCATAGGTGTGGTGTGTTCTGTTTCTTGTGGGTGTGACTTTTGTTTTATATTTATTAAATGAACTTTATTATGGTTTTATTATCAGATGTCGCTATTGCGTCCGTATTGAAGCCATTTTAGTGTTGCTTCTTAAAAGACAGAAAATATTGATCTTTCACGTTGAGAACACCTTTGAATAACTGTTCTGATGAGACCTATTAGGTCAAAATACGTATCAACAGATACAAAGGTGCTGTTTGCGTGAAATCAAATATTTGCTGTCTTTTTCACTAGAACTTATTATATTTACTAACTTAAAAATAGTTTTTGAGGTAAGTAAACAACAGACAAATAGCAGAATAATATGATGGATGTTCGTAGTAAATGGTGAATTCTTTATCCCGGCAACTATAAGTTACCTCTTTTCTGTGATTTGTCTTACAAATTCGGCGTCTACGCAGGACCTTCCGGATCTGAATTCTTGTTGTTTATCTGATAAAGTTGTAAGTTTATTGATTTTGTTGGTAAGGACTGAAAAGCTTATCTCAATGGCTATACTTTCTCGTCTGTATTTTAGAAGCTCGTTGGTTATACCGTCTGGTCCTGGTAACTTTCTATTTTTGAGTGAATTTATGGCTATCTCTATTTCCTGAAAATTGATTTCTGTTGTGTCTTAATTCAGCTACGTTTTTGTGTTGATGGTTAAACGGTTCTGTCAGGTATCTTTTCCATTCGTTTGGTGGTATGTTATTGTATTTTATAAACACACCCAAATATATCGTGAATTATAGTAACAGTTTCAATAAAAAACTAGTATATAAACATTATCACAAATTTTTTGTAGTATAAATAAAATTAATAATTTCACCCACTTTGTTAGCAACAAAGTAATTAGACTTACCCCTCATTCTGTGGCTAAAGGACATCATTTCTTGACTAGTCGCCCTTCCATCGGCCCCATCAGAATCTGATCCAAGTGTATCATATTCTGAAATAGGCAGGTGTAGGGTTAATATCTTCTTGACCTCTGAGTCAGTGCTGCCCAGGTTATCAGACTCTGAAATATAATTTTTCGTTGCTAATTTCGAGATTTGGTGCTGTTAATGTCTCAAATTTACGTGCAATTCGGTAGAGATGTGAAATTGAGCAGCAGTGGCTCTTTTGCACTTACTTTACAGGTACTACTTCTAAGGAATAGGTAAAGTGAACAATGTAATATATTTAATACTATAGATCTATTCTTTAATATATTTAGAGGGTTTACTGTGGTTACCAAGATTAAGTGTATACTACGGGATACCATTTATTATGATTGGTGCGATGTTACAGTTGAAAACTACTGGGAAATATATTTTGTCATCATACGGGAATTTTAAAACCATTCAACAAGTTTTATAAAAGTTAAATATTTAAATTTGCGTTAGAAAAATACAGATCAAATGAGCAAACAAAGCATTGAATACCCAGAATTAAAAAATACGTACTCAGAGTATGAAATAAATTACAACGTTAATAGTATCTACCAGTGGCGGATCGTGGCTTTAGAGACAGGGTCGGCAAAGTTTTTTGTCTCCTCAAATAGGTACACCGACTAATATAAAGGCTTCAATTATCATAGGCAATTTTTTTGTTTTTTTTTATTTATTTTTTTTTTCTATAAATTTAGAACCATTTAAAATGTTTATAAATAAAATTAACTCGAGTCTACGTTGTTTGGAAGTAGTAAAATGGGTTATAACGTCATCGTAAATTTTATTAGAGTTTTGGAGAGATTTTATAAGTTTTTTTCACTGACATTTGAGACAAGCTTGACATGCTCTCTTATTTCATGGTGTTTCCACAATAAATTTTGATTCTTTTGACACAAAAGAAATCCCGTTCATTTGAGACAGAAGTTGGTGGTAATGAGAAAATCAGAATTTGCGTTATTTCTTTTAGAAATTAAACTGCATTCGATGAGAAACATGGATTACGATTTAGTACAATCAAGACAAAAGTACAACCAAGAAATCATTATCAACAGAGTAAAAATGATGAAGATTACTGAATGTAAATTGGTAGATAATTTTATATTACTATTATTATACTAAAAATAAAAAAACCTTTTTAATGTGCCCTTTGGAGAATAACATACCCGACAAATGGCACAATGCTCAGCTAATTCTATTGTACAAAAAAGGAGATCCCCAAGAATTAGAAAGCTACAGACACATAAGTCTTCTTAGTCATCTATCTAAGAAGAGGCGTTCGACAGGGATGTGTGCCTTCCCCTCTTTTATTTAACATTTATTCGGAAGCCATATTTCAAGAGTCTTTGGAGGATGCAGAGATGGGAATCAAGGTGAATGGAGTATTGATCAACAACATACGATATACTGATGATGGTGTCTTAATTATTACCAAAAAGACCAAATTTATGATCATCTCCAGAAACTGACGTCCTCTATGCTGACGATCTTGCAATATGTGCTCAAGGAAATAGTTTTGAGGAAGTGGAGGAGAAACTCGAAACTGCCTTAAAAACAATGACAGCATACTACCTGCAGAATTCTCTGAGACCCAATCCCTCTAAAACCCAAGTCTGCGCTTTCCACCTTCGCACAAAGGAAGCCAAGCGAAAACTCCAAATTGTGTGGAATGGTAAAACATTAGAACACACAAACCAACCTATATATCTTGGAGTAACTCTGGACCGGTCCCTCACCTACAGACAACATTGCATAAAAACAAGAGGGAAAGTAACAACTAGGAACAGATTACTCAGAAAGCTAACGGGAAGTAAATGGGGCGCACGTCCTGGCGTTTTAAAAACAACGGCACAGGCACTGTGTTTCTCAACTGCTGAATATGCGTGCCCTGTTTGGAGCAGATCTGCCCACACCAAACAAGTTGATACTGCGCTAAATGAGAATGCAGGATAGTAACGGGGTGCATGAAACCAACGCCACTTTCAAATCTATATAGAGCAGAGGGTTTTGCAGAACCCTCAACACGCAGAGGCGCTGCAGAACACATAGAGAACATTAAACAGATCGCGGACGATCGGCATGCCCTATACAAAGCTCGAACACCACGAAAGCGACTAAAATCTAGGAAACAGTGCAGGATGAACCGCCTGAGTATTTTCCACTTCCCCAGGTTCAATGGACCGGCCAGACCCTAGACCTTAAAACGTGGAAAACGTTGAATAGGATAAGAACGAGGGTTGCTACAGTAAAATCAAACATGGCAAAATGGGGAAAAATAGACCAAGATGATGTGAACTGTGACTGTGGAGAAACACAGAATATAGAACATCTTCTTACATGCAGAAACTGTCCTCATCGACGTACCCTTGAAGATTTGTGGCTCGCCAACAAAGATGGAACCGACGTAGCCCGATACTGGGCCCAAATTTTATGAAAGACATGTCCGGACACGATAAAGTAAGTAAGTAAGTAACCACATAATAGAAACAGAAAAACCGAATACTTTATATTATATTTGGTAAAAGAAATAATACAAAACTATCTTAAAATGATAAGGCAGACCGTAAAGAAGTAGCAGACATAAGCGCATAGATTAAAAAAAAATAAAGAAAAAGGTTATGTGTATGGCTGGGATATTGATTGCAAAATCTATAATTTCATTCGCCTAAAGAAAAAGGTTGGATATTTAGATAAAAACGTCTATTAAGTATATGATATAATATCGCACATTATATGGTTAACTATACAAATGGACTAATGTACAAATTATGGAGTGTTACCTTGACTTTCAGAATGAGGGTCTCTCAGTCTTCCTCCTTTTCTTCTAACTTTGGAATACTCAGGTTCTTTACTCTGCAACAAAACAAACTATTTTAGAAACTAGTGAGAAGTCTTTAATCGTAAGTGTTGTCTGTGTTTGTTGAAATTTCATTTAAGCTGGTATGCTATTGATAAATAAAAGTTGCTTATTTATATTTCTAAAAGAATAGTAAAATCATTGTAAGAATATGCTTAACTAAAAGTAAATGAAGCTGAACGAATAAAAATATAATCACATTCCGAATCAAAATTAAGCAAACATGAAGCATTAGGCGTGGTCCTTTTAAATGAAATTAATAAAAACTTACTACATATTTGTGACAGTTACAAAACAAGCGGATATATTTTTTTCCAGACCAGACCAGATGTGTAACATGAGATTACAACGGTCATTATATAGGACCTTTTTGTCTCAGCTTTTTACAAGAATTTATAAACTTCTAAATCAGCTGTATAATAAAAACCTTGCTATATTTTCTTGATATGATAACTGTGTCAAAAACGATATTAAAATAAACATTGGAGACATGAACGCCCAGATAGGAAAAGTGATATGCTACCAAGATTATATTGGTAAACACAGCCTTCACGACGTTACTAATGACAATGGTTTATAGCTTATTAGTATGGCAGCTTCCAAAGATTTAATTATGGGAAGTACATCATAAGAATATCCATAAAGCAACTTGATATCACCAAACGGACACACTACAGACGACGTGGACATTATAACAAGAACCAGGGCGAGAATTGCGGAAATCCTAACCGAGCTAGTAGCAGCAGCAGAACGAATGGGGTTACATATAAATAAAAATAAAACCATATTCATGGCGACAAACACAACCAAAAGAGCTGGAAATGTTGACGCAGATTTAATCATCAATGACCAAAACTTCGAAGCAGCCAAAGAGTTTATATATCTAGGGACATCGGTTAACCCCAATAATGACACATCAATTGCGAGCAGAGCAGTGGTTTGCGCAAACCACTGTAGTGGTGAAGCTTTAGGAGACATTCGTTCTACTTTCCGTGTTTGAATTTGTATCAGCCCAAGTGTCTGACGATGGCTGGGATAGGCCGAAATGATCATAACACTTTAGTGATACCGATTCGAGCACGGGAAGTTTAACGAATTTGTCCTCCTAGGCCATATATTTGGCCAATTTAATACAACAAAGCGATAGCAGCTTTTTGCTAAAAGATTTATTCTTTACACATTTCGCATAGCCCAGAGGTAGAAAACGATGTGATTATATCGTTTTCGTTCACGGCCGCCAAAGCAGGTGGCGCCTCTGCTCGCAAACCACTGTAGTGGTGAAGCTTTAGGAGACATTCGTTCTACTTTCCGTGTTTGAATTTGTATCAGCCCAAGTGTCTGACGATGGCTGGGATAGGCCGAAATGATCATAACACTTTAGTGATACCGATTCGAGCACGGGAAGTTTAACGAATTTGTCCTCCTAGGCCATATATTTGGCCAATTTAATACAACAAAGCGAATAGCAGCTTTTTGCTAAAAAATGTTTTTTTAATTTATTTTTTAACTAATATTCCATTTACTTCGACTAATGTAAGTTATATAAAAGTTTAAGCAAAAGTCTACAATCTACGAAAGCGTCAAACTTAGATTCTACTAAAGATTAGCAATGCCCAGTGCTATACGACACTGGTAGACGGTATGGCGGTCCTACGAGGATGCAACTATTTTGGCGAAGCTAAGTTAATTTCACTACTTGATAGAATTGAATAGATCATCCTTCTTTCATCCTTATGTTGACGTCTACTGTGCACACATTGTACTTGTTTTTATTTTTCTTCTCCTTACTTGATTTTTATTTCCTACCTGGTAGACTACTACCGAAAACGAAATATATGGTGGAGTAGGATTTCTTGTCAAAAAGTATCTCACACTTGAAGTTACTAGCAAACCGAAAATGGACGTGGATATCTTCCATTAAAAAGACGAAAACCGAGATCGATTACTTCTTGTATGGGAACGAAAACATTTTTAAAGATAAAACTGCTCTCAACCGATTTACAACTAGCAGCGATCATCGCCTTTTAAGAGCAAGGTTTCTTCTTAAACAGACGAAAACCAGTAGAAACAGGCTACATAATTATTGTACTCAGATAGATCAAACTAAAATGCGAAAGAAGGGAGATAAGTACAGAGAAGTCTTAAGAAAAGAATTAGTAGAACATTCTCAACAAAAATATTCCAACATGAACACAATTAATAAAAAAAATGCAACGAAAGTTCCTGAAAGCAGGACTGACTGTTGCAAAGAAAACGAACAATAAAGAAGACAGAATAACTAATTGAAAAAAAGGGTTGATGGAAAAGAGACGCACATTTATAAGCTAAGGAAAGCTAAACACCTATGGTTTCAAAGAATTGAATAAACAAATAAAGAAGGGAGTAAAGGAAGATTTAAGGATCTGCAATGAAAACAAGGTAAAAAAAATAATAGAAAAGAACCGAGGCATGAAATTCTTAGGAAAGCCTATAATAATCTCATTGAATATATATATATATATATATATATATATATATATATATATATATATATTCAATCCTTTAAAATAAAACAAGCTGTTGGACAACTAAAGAACAATAAGGCTCCTGGCCCAGATGGAATGCTTGTAGAAATGTTAAAGGAGGGAGTGAAATTACTCTCGAAGAATTGAAAATTTTTTCAACGAATGTCTTCATAGAGGAGAAGTCCCAGATGATTGGAATGAAAATTTGACAATACTTCTCTTCAAAAAAGGAAACATTGGAGATCTGAAGAGCTATAGGCCAGTCTCCCTGCTGTCCCAAATGTACAAACTGTTTATGAGAGTAATAACTAAGAGGTTAACGTTGAGGCTCGATAGCTATCAACCGGTAGAGCAGGCAGGATTCCGAAACGGTTACAGTACAGCGGATCATCTTCCAGTTTAAACGCTATTGGAGAAAGCCAATGAATATCACTTGAACTTATACATTGGCTTCGTTGATTATGAAAAGGCATTCGACTTCAAAACGCGTATGATAGCATCCCACAAAACAAACTATGGGAAGCATTAGAAAAAACCAATATAAGTGCATATTTAATAACAGCGACGAAACAATTGTATACCAAAACTGCAGCAAGGGTGAAAGTTGGAAGCGGGCTATCGAGAGGATTCCAAATTAGCAAAGGCCTAAAACAAGGGTGCTGCCATTCACCGACATTATTTAAGATCTACCTCGAGCAAACTCTAAAACTTTGGAAACGCAAATGCAAAAACATGGGATTACCGATCAACAACAATACAATATACACTTTGTCATTTGCAGACGACCAACTTGTACTAGCGCAAGACTACGATGATATAGAATATATGACAAGGAAATTAATAGAGGAGTACAAAAAAGGTGGTTTGGAAATAAACATAAAAAAGACCGAATATATGTGTATCGGTGGGACACAGCAGGACCTTACACTGGGGAATGGCGAAATTATTAAACATTGCGACGCATATAAATACCTGGGTATGACCATCACACAAGAAGGAAACGTAGACCGGACGATAGAAGAAAGAAACAACCAGTGAAGAAAAGCAATTACCCTTCTCAATAGCATACTGTGGGACCAGGCAATATCAAACAACAACAAACATAAAATATACAATACAATTGTTAAGAGTACAATCACTTACAGCAGTGAAGTGTGGCAAATAAAAGAAAGATACAAGAGAAAACTTGAAGCAACAGAAATGGATTTCTGGAGGCGCTCAGCAGGAAAATCAAGATTAGAAAGGGTAACCAACAACAGAATTAGGAAATAATGAATGTGAAACACACAATAGTAGATGACATTAGTACCAAACAGCTTAGATGGTATGGACACGTACAAAGAATGTCCGAAGATCGACTCCCGAAACAAATCCTAACGTGGACCCCTCATGGTAGACGAAAAAGAGGAAAACCCCGCCTTAGTTGGAGAGAAGCATAAATCGAAGTATGAGAGAAAGAGAATTAGATGAAGACCTTTGGATGGACCAAAGTGAATTTCGACTAGGCATCGGAAGACGTAGGAGAACGTTTTAAAACCGATATATATTATATATATATATATAGTATATATATATTATAAATATAATATTATATATATATATATATATATATATATATAAATATATATATATATATATAAATATATATAAATATATATATATATATATATATATATATATATATATAATATATATATATATATATTCGACTTCATAGAACTTTGGGCAATAGAGAGAGCTGTGAACAATTGAAGGATAGACTTTGCAGGAAAAAGCACAAAGAGTGATGAAAAGATCAGTGGTCGGGATGAGACTTATAGACAAAAAACAAACAAATGGAACGAAAGCAAAACCAAAGTAAACGATTCAGAAGAACATGCTGTCAAATTAAAATGGAGCTTCGCAAGACACAATGCTTGACTGAAGGAAAAAAGATGGAACCACAAAATACAACAATGGAGACCATAGTTAGGAAAGAGAAGCAGAAGAAGACCACAAATGAGATGGGCTGATGACATTAAGAAGATCGGAGGACACAACTGGAAGCAAGTGGCGCAAAATAGAAAACACTGAATTGATTTGGGGGAAGCCTATGTCCAAAGTTGGATTACTTACGGCTGAAGAAGAAGAAGAGAAGATTACTACCACATTCTATTTTTTACTTCATATTAAGTTTTTTCTTATTTATTATGTTGCTTTATATTGAGGTTGCAGTTTTTGGTAACTGCAGTATTTGCTATTCAGCAATTCTATTAGAGAATCCCCCTTTGTAACTACGCAAAAATGTAGCAAGCGATAATATCCAGTAATAGAAATTAATTTTCAGTTAAGAAAGCACACACCTAACGCGAAACGAAACTTACATGTCCTAACTTAAAATTATCAATAGGTGGTGGTTTAACGTCATGATAAACAAAAGAGCCGCGTACCGAGTGGTACGGCCCACTATAAACGTTTCCACTGTAGGAACTCTCACTGTAGGTATTCTTGGAGAGTTGGAAAGTCGCGTAGGGACAAATGTCTTCAATATAATCTGCTGATTCTGCTTTGTAGGCATCTTCGGCAGCTAAAGCTTGTGGACCTCGGCCGACACGTACCGCCAGGTACTGCTGGTCTCTGTTTTGTTTATTCTGGATTTGCGCCATCGAAGGAGACTCGCCGATGGAGCGGTTTTGCTCATCTCGTCTTAACTCTAAAAATAGACTTATATTAGAACACGTTGACAATTTTATATACAAATAATACAAACGATTTTATTGACCATATTTTTCAAATAAACAAGAGAGAAAACATACTTACTTCTTCTCCAAAATAAAGTTGCAATCAGAGCTACTAGTACCGCCACTGAAAGCATTATTGGTACCAAAACTTTTGCATTGGCGTAGAATGGTTGATCCCCAGAATGTGATACTGGTGGTGTTAGCTCAGGTACAACTAAAAGGTATTTACCTGCAGGTTAGTAAATATTAGAAGGCTTAATGTATCACACAAATAAATACAAGGACTACTACTAAAGTCTTGAGATATGGTTAGTACCAGTTTGAGTTTTAGATGATATACGCATTTACGTTTCACCTACGCTATACACCAAAAAAAAAATAAAAATCTATTTAGCTATAATATTTGAGAGTAAGCTTTTTAAAACACTCAATATAAAACATCACCACAGCTCTTAACTACTCAAACAGAATAGTTTTCGCAATCTCTGAGGAGATCCTGCGCTGCAATATTGGCTAAGTGCGCCATAGGATGAGGTTTTGTGGTCTCAAAACTTGAGTAGTAACGTTTTCCATGCAACAAACCATCAAAATTTTGATTTTGCTAAATAATAAAAAGTTTCTTACCACCTAAGGGTGTTAATGTAGTGAAATTATACACAGCTTCTGTATCTCCAGCATTATTGTGAGCTGTGATTTTAAGCTGGTATTCTGTAGCTGGTAGCAGATCGAGAATGCTGTATATCCGTTCTGTAGGTTTGACGTGATTTGACGAAGTCGTCCAGGAGCTGTATCTCGAGGACCTGTACTCTATTATAAAATATAAAATTCCACACCCACCATCTCCCCACGAATCCAGCCAAACGGTTACCATCGTGGAATTCATCGTAAGCATTTGGGACTGCTTGGGTTGAATTGGTACTAAAACATAATTAAAATAATGATAGTATAATGAAAAATAATAGTAATGTATTAACTACAGGGGAATAACACTCCTAAACACCACCTACAAAATCCTTTCAAACATCCTGCTAGAAAGAACCAAAAAATACACAGAAGAAATCGTTGGAGATTATCAATGCGGATTTAGACCGGGCCGCTCTACAATTGATCAGATATTTACAATAAAACAGATAATGGAAAAATGCTGGAGTTTGATCGTGAGCTTCATCAGATGTTCATAGATTTTAAACAAGCATTTGATAGAGTATGTAGGGACAGACTGTGGACAGCGATGCAGGAACTTGGCTTTCCAAAAAAACTAGTCCGGTTGATACGGATGTGTATAGAACGGTTATGATGTAAGGTGAGAGTTGGACGACAAAACTCGGAGACATTTGAAATAAACAATGGACTAAAACAGGGAGATGCACTTTCACCACAACTCTTCAACTTAGCTCTGGAGCACATAATCAGAAGTGCAAGAATCGAAAAACCGAATACAATACAAACGAAGCAGAGAAGATGGGGCTCCAAATCAACGAAAACAAGACGAAATATATGTATATGAGCCGCAATAATCAAAGCAGAGACAGAATCGGTCAGAACATTACCATCGATGACTTTAACTTTGAGCGCGTTAGAGAATTCAAGTATCCTGGAACAACAATAACTGAAGACAATAACGGATCACAAGAAATAAACAACAGGATTCAGGCCGGCAACAGATTATTTTTGCCCTCCAAAACCTTATAAAATCAAAACAACTAACACGACGTACGAAGATACAGGTCTATAAAACAATCATACGACCCGTTGTTGATGTATGGAAGCGAAACGTAGACGATAACAAAGGCAAATGAAGAGAGACTACGTGTTTGGGAAAGAAAAATCCTAAGGAAGATCTTTGGTCCGGTGCTTGATGAAGCATCAGGACAATATAGGATAAGAACTAATAAAGAGCTTGAAGAACTTTACCCAGACGCCAACATCATAAAAGAAATAAAGTATAGAAGACTCCAATGGGCAGGACACCTCAAAAGACATTCTGATGAACGAACAGTAAGACTGGTGTGGGAGGAAGTCCCAACTGGAAGGAGACCACGCGGACGCCCTCGTCTCCGGTGGCGAGATAATATAGCAGGAGACCTAAGCACTATGGGCGTGGAGAATTGGATGGAGGTTGCTCAAGACAGAAAACAGTGGAGGCATGAAGGTTGTAACGCCACGAGTAAGTAAGTATAATGAAAAGCATACCACAAAACTAATGCAAAATTAGTAAAACTTTACTATTGCCTCACTATGTTATAATATAACATATCACCACTGGACATCACAACTATCGACCAAAATAATTAAGATATTTTGAACACATAAGCAGAATAAGAGGCAGTTACAAAAGACTAAAGTTGAAGGCAATAGAGCTGGCAAAAGGTCCATGGAAACATGCCCATGTTAGTAGATAAACTTAGAATCGCCATGTAAGTAGCCAGCATGGTGATTCGTACATCCTTACTTACACACATACCTGTGCCTTTGGTTTGAGCTGGTACAATATCGCATGGTAGGCCCGTGCCGATTCTATTAAAAGCAGTGATATATAAAAGGTACTTAGTACCGCACCATAAATTCCTTAACATATGTTCATCAGTTCTAGCAGAAATCTGCAACTCTTCCCAGTCTCCATGGTTTCTCTTGTAATTTATTACATACCCTAAAATAGAATACACCATTTTAATATATTAAATCTTCTACTAGAAAAAAAATTGATTGTTACAGCACTAAAATTACCTAAAATTGGGGATCCTCCATTTCCCTGATCACTCCACCTCAACAGCAAACTATCTGTAAAAGACTCAACAACGGTTAACACCGGCGCTTCCGGAGGAACCAACACTTTTAAACTGTACACTATTTCATCATGTCCATATTGATTTTCTACACTACAAGAATAATTTGCTTGATCTACATTCTGAATGTCTTTTATCACTAAAGTTGCGTTAGCAAAAATAGATCTGCGGCCTCCAACTTCTAAAGGAAGGTCGTTCAGTCTCCAATTGACGCTTGGAAGGGGAATACCTACACGACGGCAGTGCAAATAAATGTCTTGCTTCCAAGCGCTTATTACTTCTCGTCCAAAAGAGGCTATTCGGGCAGGTACTGTTTTGGAGGGGGTTACGGTCACGACTCGTGTGCTTTCACCGTCGCCAATCTGAAAAATTTCAAATTTTGAATATTTTGCTATACTTCGTGAAGCTAAACTGATACTTATTACATATAAATATTACTTTAAAAAGCTATTAATATTTAATTTTTACATGTTAACATTATACAGTGATAAGTGCTCTCTATCTTGAACTGTTCTTAGTATCGAATGTGTGTCCATGCCTGTCCAGTCTCTTACATTCTTTAACTAGAACCATTTTCTTCTTCTTGGACCTCTTCTTCCTTCCACTATGTTCTAGATAACTAGCCACCAACCACCAACTGATATTTTTAACTTTTATTAAACTAACAAATTTATAACGTTATGTCAGTTCCGCTATTCTTAAATCTTCCCTTGTATCGGGTGGTCCAATAAGCCGATCTCTCGGCTATATATCAGAAACTATTCATGTTATAACTTTAGGAGAAAAAATTCCTTAGTAAAAGTGGCCAAGAGAAATCGCTGGAAATAATAACTTTCAAGATTCTGGATTAACCGCTAGGGGGCGTAACCTGCGAAGAAAATTTTGAAAACCAGTTTTTTGGGAAATATGTCTAATTATACCAAGTGTTAAATAAGTAAACTAGAAAGGGGCATATATTCTGCACAAAGTTGTTCAAGTACTTTTTTTCTTATTTTTTCAAATAAAGGGTGGGGGGAGAGTGGAAAAGTATTTGTGGATAAATACCTATAACTTTGGTTTGGTTCAACCGATTTTAATGAAATTAGTGTCATTAGAAAGAGTGTGGATGAATTAATTCATATCTACTATAAAATACTTGCATTTAGTTTTATAGTCGTAGATAGAGGGGACTTTCAAATAAAAAAAATTAAAATTTGTTTTTCTTTAAAATTTTTAATGGAAATACCTATTTATTGTAAATTATAATGGAACTGGAATAAATTCGTAACAAAATGGAGTAAACTGCAATGTTAATTAGCTTTTGTTGAACTCGAGATATGAATAAAAACTCATAAACATAAGTAAGTATAGTATTGACACACCCTGTATTATAAATTACATTAAAAAATAAGTCATTAGGTATTTTCAAATTTTTTTATAGCAGAAGAATTTTAATGTTAATAACTATTTTGTAAAAAATAGTTTTTTCAAAACTAAGTAGGCTACGACAATGAATTTGACGGGGAGTTCATATTTTTTATTTATTGACAGCAGTCAAAACATTGTTAAGAAGTGCTATATTATAATTCGATTTAAAGATTGCACTTTTTTTAATAGATATTAATATTGGTTATATTAGGAATTAATTATCAGTACAAATAATTCGTGATGAGTATATCAAATTGTATGATATGATTGGAGTTTATTTCGAATGTCACCAAAATGCCGCTATTGCCTCACGTATATATTTTGTAAGATATCGTGACAGGAGACATTATGGCAAAGAAGTATTTGAAAGAAAGGCAAAAAGATTAAGAGAAACTGGTAGTTTTTCTCGTCCTTGTTTTAAACGACGTAGTAGAGTTATGACCGAAGATAATTCAATCAATGTTCTTGCTTTAATTCAACAGAATCCACATATAAGTAGTCCGAAATATCTACTTTTTTGCCACAATATCTCCTGCCAGGATATCTTACAGAATATATACGTGAGGCAATAGCGCCATTTTGGTGATATTCGAAATAAACTCTAATCATATCATAAAATTTGATATACTCATCACGAATTATTAGTAAGGTACACCGGGGTAAGAGGAACCTAAAAAATCATTAATTTCTGTTTAAGGCCTTCTAAAAAATTTAGTTATATATGCACTCTATTAGGTTACCGACAGGTAAGAGTTACACCATTTTCTAATACGAATCCGGTGTTAAAACATAAAAAAACTTTAAAGAACTTTTTTCTAACAAAAACTTTCAATCATGTGACATGGTTTCCACTTGCCCCACATTTTCTACATGGCAAGGGGCAAGTGGAAACCTATCCGAATTTATATATTGAATTCAATGCAAATCATTCTGGGGCAAGTAGAAATAATAAAAAACCATTTCTGAATACATTTGTAATAAAAGTTTAAAAAAATATGGTTATTAGCGAACATTATAGTTGTTTAGAGAAATAGGAAACGAAATTAAAGCTTGTTGCCTTTTTGTAAGCTGGGAAAAACTTAATGGTTTTGGCAATACTAATTCAATTTGGAACTTAAATGCGACTGATATGTCTGGTAGGTTGGAAAATAATATTTTCCGTCATTTTTTATGCATTTTCGAAGGCAACTAACTTTAACTTCAGTATCAAAACACTGCAAAATTTTAGCGACATAATAAATATAATTTTAGCCTCCTTTAACTGGAAATTTCATTAATACGAAATCATCGGGCATAGCCGCACGATGTAACTCTTCTTCGATGGGAGGGGTTGGAACCCTTAATATATCAATATCGTCGTCGGAATCTGATCTCATCTCAATGAAAGCTTGGTCATCATCACTGCTGTCAGATCGTGTTTCCTTCTTCTTTATCCTTTTCCTTTCCGTTTTTATTGGATTTTACGGTCTTTTTGTCTTGTTGTATCTTCATTTTTGCTAAATAGTCAGTGTGTGTTATGATCTCAGCGCCAGAACAGATTTTCTTACGCTTTTGCTGGTTTGATGGGGATTGTTTGACATGTTCGAGTAAAATAGATTCGAAGGAATTTCTTTCAGGAAGCCTTTTTAATGCATGATTCTGATTATCATTTTGAAGATACTGTTTGTATTGTAACACAGTACTTCTGACCAAGTGTGTTGCTTGGCTGCCACTGGTATTTTCCGACATTTCTTCTTGTTGAGGGGTATCACCAGGGTCATTCCTATTTCTCACTAATGATGCCTTCTTAGAGTTATGATATTGAAATCTTTTGAAAGCCTCAGGTTCAAATTTTTCAACAGGAATCACTGCATTACAGAATGGGTAAATACCGGCCTTACTAAAACCACTTTTAATATGGTTTGAACTCAGCTCCTTCCATACTTGTGAAATTATAGATGAAAATATGGATTTCGGTAACTTTGTACCGTAATTTCTTCTTTGCCATTTTATAAGAGCTTCATCGTACATTTGTTTTAAAGGCTTGAACACAGCCAAATCCATTGGCTGTAGGAGATGGCTAGTATGTGGCGGTAGTTTTAAAATAATTATGTCTTCCCTTAAAGCAGTTTCTATAAGGGCAATTGATGTGTGTGAAGAGTGACTGTCATAGATCAGAACAACGGGTCTCTCTTTAGGAATATTCGGAAGGAACGTATGTTCAATATAATTAAAAAATGTTTCCGTTTCCATCCATCCGTTTATTGTTGCTCCGTATGTAATTCCTGGATACTCGTCATCTTTTTTTGCTAGCCATGTATCCCAAAGATTTTTTCCTTTGAAAATAATAAGGGTGGTAATTTTTCTCCTGTAGCATTGCCACCCATTAAGACAGAAAAGTTTTCTTTGCCAGGACCAGCTGTAACTCGATGAGCGGCTTTTCCTTCTTCACCTACTACTTTTACACGACTAGGATCTAGACAGAAACTGGTTTCATCTAGATTATAAATCCTCTCAGGGGGTATATTCGAAGTGATTTCTTTCACCAAGTCAAAGTACTCTGCAATTACAAATGGATCTATACTTTTTTTACGGGCCACTTCAACTAATTGTGGCTTCTTTTGAGAAAGTCCATATCGGCGCTTGAAACTTAAAAAATAATCATCTCCCGGTATTGAATCTTTAAATGGAGTTTTTATGTTATTTTCTGACACATATTGTCCAATAGCTAACAAAATTTCTTTTTTGAAAGACCAAAACCCCATTTTTCCATGGTCTTAATACGGTCAGCAATTTTGGTCTCAATATCTAAAGGTAAAGCTGTTGGCCTACCCATAGTGGTACTTTTTTCACCCCTTAATCCCTTGACTCTTTTAAATAATGTTGCTTTTGGAATGGAGTAATGTTTTGATGCTCTGTAGAGTGTCATTTGCTTAGATTTTACAGCTTCTACTGCTTCTCTTAAGGTTTCTTGAGAATATGTTGGCGGTGGTTTCTTTTTGACATAATTACGAACCATTGTTACTGCAAAGAAAAAAAAATAAGTTAGATTAAACTGTTTTAAATAAATGCTTGGGGAAAGTGGACACTAGTGTCCACTTTCCCCAATGTTGTGGGTTCCACTTGCCCCAAGCATAAAAAACAATGGGGCAAGTGGAACCTATCTATTTTTACAAAAATTATCTACACAAGTTAGTTTTAACCTACATATAAATAAAATACAATATAATTTTATTCCTTACCTAATGAAAATCACTGTTAATTCGAATTCCTTGAATCAAAACCGTTGGCTTAAAGATAACAATTACAATTCGATGGTTAAATCGATACCGGCTTGGTAGATAAACACTTGAATAGTTTTGCTTAACGACAGAATTATGACTGACTCTGAGCGTCAGTGGTAATATTAACCTAGTGTAGATCGTTTTTAGGGAGATGGCAGTCACAGGACTGGATTATGATTTTTTTAATCACATGGTTTCCACTTCCCCCATATTTCCACTTGCCCCGGGGTACCTTACTGATAATTAATTACTAATATTACCAATAGTAATATCTATTGAAAAAAATGCAATTTTCAATTCGAATTATAATACATATAACACTTCTTAACAATATTTTGACTGCTGTCAATAAATAAACAATATGAACTCCCTGTCAAATTCATTGTCGTAGCCTACTTAGTTTCGAAAAAACAATTTTTAATCATATGAAATAACAATGGTCAAAATAGGTATCAACATTAAGAGTTTTCTGCTATAAAAAATTTTGGAAGTACCTACTGACTTATTTATAAATTTATTTTATAATACAGGGTGTGTCAATACTATACTTACTTATGTTTATGCGTTTTTTATTCATATCTCGAGTTCGATAAAAGCTATTAACATGCGGTTTTGCGCCATTTTGTTACGAATTTAATCCAGTTCTATTATAATTTACAATAAATAGGTGTTTCCATTAAAAATTTTAAAGAAAAACAAATTTTAATTTTTCTATTCGAAAGTACCCTCTACCTACGACAATTAAAACTAAATTCAATTATTTTATAGTAGATAAAAATTAATTCATCCATACTCTTTCTAATGACACTAATTTTGTTAAAATCGGTTGATCCAAACCAAAGTTATAGGTATTTATCCACAAATACTTTCCCACTCTCCCCCACCCTTTATTTGAAAAAATAAAAAAAAAGTACTTGAACAACTTTGTGCAGAATTTATGCCTCTTTCTAGTTTACTTATTTAACACTTGGTATAATTGGACATATTTCTCAAAAAACTGGTTTTCAAAATTTTCTTCGCAGGTTACGCCCCCTAGCGGTTAATCCAGAATCTTAAAAGTTATTTCCAGCGATTTCTCTTGGCCACTTTTACTAAGGAATTTTTTCTCCTAAAGTTATAACATAAATAGTTTCTGATATATAGCCGAGAGATCGGCTTATTGGACCACCCGGTACATGTCCCACTTAGGCGAATCTATTATGCACATTGGACTAGTGCAATAGTCGTACAGTTGCAACTACACAATGCTGCCAGACTCACCTAAAAATCTCTTTATTATGACAAAATAAAATGTCCTAAACAGGATTTATATAGTTTATATTGACGGTATTCATGTTTTTTTTAAAAATGTTCCTACTCTAAATCTTGAAAGTCCATTATACTATTCTCCGGGACGAGATGTTGATTGCATAGGTAGGATTTTGCTTACAGCAAAGGTGCACAAATCAAAGTGTCCCTTAGTTCCAAATCTGGATTTACCTAAGAACTCTGGATTTACCTAATTCGTCTAAGAACTCTTGGAGCGGACACGGATCCAGAATTTAAAAAATTATGTATCATAGATTAAATTGTTGATCGTGCTAGTGTTGGCCTATTTGGAAACATATTTACAAATTGTTGTCTAATCATGTTGTGTGATAATCCATTCAGATGCCAGACAATAATGTGCACTTTTCCTCTATCGTTAAAACTATTTTTACGAATTGTTTTTTTATCAAAAAATTTATGTTTACCATGCAAAAAGACTTCTCGATGGTTTGATCGGTTGATGTTTTGCTACCGCAACCGATAGGCTTTTCGCATGCAGCCCACTCAGACAGGGTTGATATTGGTGTTACCAAAGAGAGAAACTAATAACCTCACTTAGAGATAAAGGCATTATACGACCAAAATATCTTTTTAATATTAAACTCTGATAAAATGGTGACAATTTATCTAGCTATTAGAAAACAGGAGGGTAATAAGGACTTGTGGAAGTACAATATATTATTAAAATTCTAACTTACTCTCGTTGAAGCGGTAACCCAAAACTGTAGAGTGGCAGTATCTTGAGTTCGAAGTACTTCATGCATTTCTGTCGTTGGATTGAGTGCTCTTTTGTGAGTACCCTCTTCCTGGCCGTCCTCAACAATGCTCATGTAAAATGTATAGCCAGTCAATGGTCCATTGCTGTATTTCGGCGGTAGCCACGACACGAGTATTTTATTGGGAGCACTTTGAATTGCTTTTATCTGAGCAGGAGCAGAAGGCACTGAAAATATTTATTTACACATAAATTTATACATAAATATTGTAATCCAAAAATCTACAAAGTTTTAATTCAGGTATTTCAAATTCCATACTATATAAGGTTTTAATCTACACATTACAAATTTTTGGAGTAAAACGCTTTCTTTTTAAATTTCAAAAGTAACTATAACCATTTATGGTTGTTTTTTAAATAGCATCTTATAAAAATTTTCTATTGGTCAGATCTAATCATAACCTTAGGGTGCACGTCCGTTCCGAACGTTGGTGATCATTCTATGATTGCTATACGGAATAGCTGTGTTGAGGTCTTTCTATACCATGCTCTCAGGTTAACAAGCCAGGATATATATCCATTGGAGTAGCTCATATCTGCCTTGATTTCTCATTATATGTTCCAAGTACTGCAGCTAAGTTCAAAAGCTTAAAGTTTTGATAGAGTTTTTCGCCTTTAATGTCCACGTTTCTACTCCGTACAAAAGCACTGAGTACACGTAACATTAAAGCAGAGTTATTTTTGTTTTCAGGGTGAGGTCATGACTCTTGAACACAGAGCTCATAGTCAAGAATGCACGTTTTTAGCGTGGTTTTGCTGCTATTTATATCCAGTCCATATGTTTCACTTGTTTCCGTTATTTTGTTTATTAAGTTTTGCAGCCCTTCTATGGTATTGAAAAAGACTATTGTATCATCTGCATACTGCAGGTTATTGTGCTTGACTCCATTTATTGAGATGCCTTCATCAATATCTTTAAGAGCCTCTTCAAAAATGTGCTTTAAGCACAGATTGAATATCAGTGGTAAAATTATGCACCCCTGTCTTATTCCCTTTAAGGTTTTGACATGATCTGTATATTCTCCATCTTTTCACAGCACCACTGATTGATTCCAATACAGGTTAGCTATTATTTTTGGGTCTCTTCCTTCAATCCCTGTCCTCTTCAGCACTTACATTATTTGTTCATGCCTGACACATTCGAAAGCCTTCCTCCACGCTAAATAAAGCTTTCCTCGTACCAATGGCGTTCACAACAGCTTCAGAAGATGGGTCATTAGGTTTATGGTCCTATAGTTTTCACAAACTTTTGCTCGTGTTTTTTTGGGCAATGGTACGAACTCAGATTTGGGCCACTTTACTGGTATTTTTCCTGCCTTGTATATTTCATTAAATATTTCAGGTGATATTTTTATTTGTTCTTCATCTAATAGCTTCAACAGTTCTGCAGGAACTTCATCAAGTTCCGGTGCCTTTCCATCCCTCATTTGTCTGACCATTTGTTTTCGTCCTTGGCATTTGAGTTAATTTAGATGGACAAGGAACATCGTTCTCGAAAAAGAACGTCATTCTATTTCTGACCACAGAGTGAATCATACGTTGTAGTATTTATAATCCAGTATATTGGCGACGTGCAAGTACTTGGATGTGATACGAGAAACGATCGTGCGCGAGTAGCGGAGAAATCTTGCATTTTTTACTGCACATTTTATAAATTCATATTGTCAATTGTCATCTTTCATATTCGTTATCGTTTGTTTATTTACACCTTCTGTCACTGAAGAAAATGGGATTTAGTAAATGCTCTGTTATAAATTGTAAAAATACAACAAACAATTGTCAATTTAAGTTTTATTCGTTTCCAACTTCGAAGCACAAATTACTACAAAGAGAAAAGTGGATTTATATCATTAAAAAACATAAGTAAGTAACATAACCTAAATTATGCATTATTCTTGCGCCCGATTTTAAAGTCAGTTTGAAATAAATAATAGATAAAAGTTCACTTTTAAGTGAAAATTTTAGTTTCATAACACGGACGATTTTCACATTTGGTCCCATTGAAGATAGCTTCGAATGGACTTGACAGAATGCAATATAGGTGTTTCGCAGTGTTGAAATTTACATTACAAACGAAACATACGCAATTAAAAGCAATAAGATATTTAAAAACTAATATTTAACGATTACGAAAAAAAGAAAAAGTAAATAGTTTTTAAAACAGTTTTTAACAGTAAATAGTAAAATGTCAGTATAAATAATAAAATTTAAAAGGCATCTGTTGCAATCTGGCAGCTGGTGGTTTGAGGGTTCTGACTCTATTGCCAAATCTATCCGCTAACCTACCAAAGGGCAATTGCCAATAAAATTTTCTGATAATTTATTACAACTAATCTCAAACGAAACAAATATTACTTCATAAATATTTTATATAAGGTATAAAATTGCAGAATCCATAAAATAATATGATAAAAATGTGCCTTTTAAAAGTTTTACCTCTTTGTATTTGAAGCATAAGCTTATAATATATACATTATTAATAACATGGCAACACTGCCAACGTAATATTTCGTTCTTGTGAAACTTAATTGACAGCTAATTTGAGGCTATCTTCAATGGGACCAAATGTGAAAATCGTCCCATAACACTCACTTAGAGTTCACTTTAACCCAAAAATCAAGTTTAATGCTAATGTAACTTTAAGTTTAGCTATGTATTACATAGCTTTGTCCATTTTTTTCTAATTCTTCCACATTCTAAACATAATTTGCCACTACTAAAGTTTTTACCCTTTGACTCAGTGCTTGGTTGAAAAGTTATTTGGTGATTTACTTTCTCAAATCCAGTTTTTATTATTTCATCCATATTAACAGTAATGCTGTAATTTAATAATGTATTTATTTGTATTTACACTACATACAACGTTTACTTTTTAATAACATACCGACATAACCTCAATCATACTTTTTCTTCTTATTCTTTTTTTTGGCTATGTCCTTGACAGTTATCCGGTAACCTCGATCTAACATGAAAGCGCAGTAAATTTTGCTGATTACGACACCAGGTGTCGCCCTTCCGAACTTGCACGGCACCAATATATTATATAATTTATAAATCTTCTTATAATTTTTCTATAGTCTATATTCTAAACCGATGGTAGTGTGAATAGGGTGTTAACAATTTTTTTTCACTTCTTTACAGAAGGAAAAAATACACATCTGTACATTGTTTTGCCTTCTTTAACATACCTTCTAGTTGAACTGAGATATCCGTGGGAAATGCGAGAGTAAGAGGCATTCTATATGCTTTAAAGCATTTTTGAATCTTTCTTGCACAAAAATAGATCATCTTTTTTTTTGGAACACAAACATTTAAATTTGGGAGTTTGTAGAAGAACCAACTAACAAAAAAAAATTTACAAAAAATGCATATTTTTCATTTTGATAAATATATCATAAGCTCACACATACCGTCTTCTTCAGTTTGACAAAACACTGGAACAGATCTCACACCATCCCCACTGGAAGTATACGCTAACACTGTCATACTATAGTTAGTATATTTTCTTAATCCCGAAATCGTTGTTCTGAGTTGATTCACAATTTTTGTTTGTTGATCTTCGTTGTCTAAAAACATACAGTAAAATTATTAATTTATAAAATTTACAAATTATTAAGAACTGTTTAAACAACTTTAGTAAAACTGAAAGAAATACAAAATCAATTATGTTATTTAATAAATTTATTTTACATAATAGTATAAAGCCTTCAATATATAATATAAATAAACCAGAAAGGTTTTGATAAATCAGATTTTTGATACATACCGAACCATTCTCCGACAGAATGGTAAGTTACTTTGTACCCTTGGATGATGCCGTTTTGACCCTCAACTAACGGAGGTTCCCATGATATGTGTAAACTTTGAGCATTTAAAACGGAACATTGAACGTTTTCTGGAGGTAGAGTGGGTGAGTCTTCTAAGGTTCGTGCAGTGACTGGTTCACTGGCCGGTCCAGATCCTCGACTGTTATACGCCTACAATTACATAAATGTACTTTTTATTCATAAAATATCGAAATTTTAACACACAACAGTTTAATCTGTGGACCTTCCAAATAATTACACTATAGTCATTTACAGAAATGAACTTTGATAAAGTTAAAGGCAGCTATCGAGCACAATTTTATTAATTAAATCTTGCCCAAGTACTTTAGAAATACTTTTCTAAAGCATTTAGAAAAACGAAAGTACTTAGGCATGATTTAATTAACAAAATTGTGCCCGATATCTACCTTTAATTTTATCAAAGTTTATTTATTCGAGCATTCAACCTTATATCAATATATTTACATAAATTGCAGCAGTGGTTGGATGAATTCAGACCAAATAGAGCCACTACAGATAACATATTCATACTAAGAACGATACAAGAAAAAGCTTATGAATATGACATAGACCTATATAATATGTATATAGACTTTAAACAAGCTTTTGATAGTGTGAAAAGAGATAGAATGCTAGAAGACCTTTGTAATCTAGGTATACCTAAGAAATACATCAGCCTCATAAAAATGACGTTGCAGGGTTCAAAAGCCGCAGTCAGAGTAGATGGAGAACTGACTCCCCTGTTTAACATCAACATGGGAGTAAGACAGGGAGATGCCCTATCATCCATGCTATTCAACCTAGTTCTTGAGGCAGTCATCAGAAAAACCAATATAACCGGCCATATAAACACCAAATCAGTACAAATTACTGCATATGCAGACGATGTAGCCATCATTAGTAGAAATAAGCCACAACTAATGGAAGTGTTCAAACAAATTGGTCCTGAAGCAAGAAAAAGAGGTCTCAAAATAAACGAAGAAAAAACGAAGTATATGACAGTCAAAAGAATAACTGACAATGAAAATAATATCACAATAGACAACTATACTATCTAACGAGTGGATGCCTTACCATATCTCTCCGTAGTAGAACTCCGTAAGTAGCGAAATTAATGCACGTATTTCCAGCGGGAATCGTACATACTATGCTAATAAAAGATTGATGAAATTGAAATTATTAGACAAAAGAACCAAAATGACTATCTACAGAACACTGATTAGACCCGTAGTAACCTATGGATGTGAAACTTGGGTAATGACGAAAAAAGATGAAGTCCAACTCAGGACATTCGAGAGAAAATTACCAAGGAAAGTATATGGCCGGTACAAGAGGAAGATGGCACATGGAGAATCAGGAGAAACGACGAGGTTAATGAGTTAAATGAAGGTTATGACATTGTAAGATTTGTGAAAAGTCAAAGACGGTCATGGCTGGGACGTGTGCAGAGACAAAACGATGCAAAAACAACAAAGAAAATGTTACAATGGAAACCCATAGGAAGGCGAAAAAAAGGAAGGCCCAGAACGAGATGGTTGGATGACGTGGAAGACGACCTGAAAACAATGAACATAAGACAAGGAGAAGAAGGGCACAATAGAGATCTGAATGAAAGGACATAGCCAGACAGGCAAAGACCCATCCAGGGTTATGATGCCAAAAGAAGAAGAAGCAGCAGTGCTATAGAAAAACATTTAAAAATTGTCTTTATAAATATTTTACCTGGACGACTATATTATACGTAGTAAATTTAGCTAGCCCCTGAAGAGTAGCTTCCCCTCCAAAATGAGGCCTGACTTCGACGCTTTTAAAAATATAATTTTGAGCAATATTATTTGAATCGTCGTTGGTATATTCCTGGTAACCGACGTGATATCCCAACAAATTTCCATTCCAGGATTCTCTTGCAGGTGGCTCCCACGTAACTACTATTTCAGTGGAGCTCTTTGGCTCTGCTCGTATGTCCAACGGAGCTCCACTAGGCACCTCCTCCAGGGTATTGACTTGTACAGTTTGACTGGGCTCGCTTAATCCCAGTCTGTTTTCGGCTAATAGTCTCAAATGGTAGACTGTGGCTGGATGGAGGTTTGGAAGAGTTGTTGTAGTTTGAGATCCTGGAACTGTTACTTTGAGAGGCTGTGTAGGCCACGTTTCTAAAATACAGAATAAACGTTAAAATTTTTTGTCAGGAATATTTTACTATAAGTATATGGAATAGTCTTCTAGAACAAATTAAATGAAAAAATTATTTAAACCGTTTTGTCTAAATACACTTCTCATCTTATTAAATGAGAATTACAAAATTAAAGAATATTTTCAAAATTTAAAAGTTATAATCGTCATAAATTGCTAATAAATTTTACTAAAGATGTAAAAGTATATTCTTTATATACTTTAAAAATATATCTAAAAAAAAGTAACAAAGAAGAACAAAAAAATATCTTAAAACATTGTTCAATTTTCTCACATGCGAAAAATCATGACATTTTTTTCGCTGTATTATTAACTATCCTTATATCACAATTTTACAATCATTATCCTAGTCCAACCCTTAATAACCCTTCCTACTTACAGTTCAACCCCCTCTCTTAAGAAATACAGACAGTTTCAACTTGACTCAAGATAGCAAAGAAGAAAGACACTCTCTCGATGGTCGTCTGCCGCTAAGGACAGACCATTCTCACTCTCTTAGTTTGGCCATCGCTAGGGCCAGACGTTCTCTCTCTTGATCTGGCCACCGCTAGAGCCAGTCGTACTCTCTCTTTCATTCTCTCTCTCTTCGCTTATCAAGAAGAACAGCATCTATCTTGGCTGTTTTTCTATCGTAATTACCTCTTTCCCGCTTTAGTTACGCGAGAAATATCGAAAATACTGTATTAAATCGTGTGCAGACAAAGTGTGCTCTATATCGTGATATATTTGCGAAATACGTATTCAGAAACCGGTGCATCGGACAGATTTCGCGGGTGAAGAATAACCACGAGTGAAGACCGGAAACAACCGTGAGAGTGTGGAGCAGAAAAAATATTGGTAAGACTTTCTATTAATTTAATTAGCTATTGTCTGTATACCTTTTATTACATATAATAATTTTATTGAACCAGCCCTATATAATACAGTCCACATACACAGAAATTATACTAATAATTTCCTACATATGTACTCCCTTTTTGTACAAACATAAATAAAACATCATTGTCATTGTTGGTATCTGCCCCTCTATAACTCCTACAATCGATTAGTGCCTTATTATGTTTGCTTTCAATTGGGACGTGATCTATCTGATTTTTTATTTTTCCATCGGAAGAAGTCCATATTACCTTATGAATGTCTGTGATCAAACATTGTGCTAGCTAACTTTATTTTTTTGTGTTCTTTAATCAGTGTCCCCCTGAACAAAATTATTATCAGCCGCCACTAAAGATAGTAATGCCATATTTGTGGATATTTATCTGATTTCATTAATATATCTTTCGAGTCTGACGGGACGTATGTATCCCAGTCATGAAATCATCAAGAGTAAATCTGAACCATTTTATATAAATTTTTATCGCAACTGAATTTTTAAGAACTTTGCGTAAGCGACAACATTGCAAACCGTTTTCGCCTTGTATTTTCCCGTGACGTTGATCTGTGGAATGTGTTTATGTAGTTTGGTTGATAATTACCACAAGGACAGTTGTGCGTTGTTATTGTTGTTGCGAATTTGTTTTTGTGAATGGAGCTACCTACAAACAAAGTAAATATATTCAATACAACTAGTATTTTGTTTTGTGGGTGAAATATGTCCCAACAGACATTTATGGTGGGTTATATGTGTCCCAAGTCTTGTTTTGTTCTAGATGAGTAGAAAGATATTGACGCAGAAAGAGCTAGAAAAGGAAGTAGCAGCAATTTTTGCCAGCAATATAGAATCAGAAGTCGATGCTTTTAAAACTAGTGGCTCCGATTATGAAGACTCATCGATCTATCAGGATGCGAAGAACAAGTAGAACGAGGGATTCACAAAATAGATTCAGATTCAGGGCAATAAGATGGATGAAGAAAATCAGATGATAAGTGCCGAAAGTGAAGAAGGAAGTAATAGTGAGAAAAATGATGAAAAAGGTACGTAGCAACCAGGCATTTGGTTTCATAACGATGACCCTTTTTAACACGTTTTTCGGTTCCATCAGAAAAAAAGTCGATTGTACTCTTCCTGATACCATGATCGAAATAGAAATATTTCTAAAAGTCTTTCCCGGAAGCCTCATTCGACATGTTGCAGATTATAAGAATTTACGTTTAGAGAAATTTGGAAACGACACTAAGAAAAAAAGATTTTCTACCGATGAACGTAAAATTATGATTGTATTGGGTGTCAAACTAATCATGGCATACAATAGAGTTCCATCTTTCAATTATTATTGGTCACAAAACGATTCTTTAGGAAATTTAGCAATAAAAAGAGCAATTTTTTGAGACCGGCTGTAAACTGATCCTTGCCAAAATTTATTTCGCTGATATTGTAAAGCCTGACAATGCGAGAAAATCATATTATATCGCGAATGTCGCTAATTATCTAAAACTAACATTTCCAACATATCGAACAGAGGCGGCTTTTCAAAACATTGATAAGTTAATGGCGAAATTTAAAGAAAGCTCTCTCTAAAAGAGTTCCTACCTAGGAATCCCATCAAACGGGGAATAAAGATATAGGTACGAAGCGATTCTGCAACAAGATGTGTATACGATTTTAATAATATATGAGGGAAATGAATAAGGAAATGATACTAGTTTATTATTGGGAGAAAGAGTAGTGACCAAATTAGTTAGTACTATAAGGGGAACTAATGTATTAGTTCCCCTTCCTATAAAGGAAAAATAGTATTTTTGCCTTTTCTAATTAGTATAGCTGAGGGACTTATTTAATTGGGAAGAAGCCGTGCTGCTGTTAAAAGAAAAGCATCGACTTCACTTGGACGTACTTCAGCAAAGAAACAAAAAAAAAATGTTCAACGTGGGAGATTATTTACCTAGCGAAAAAAAGATCAATAGAAGAAGTCAACGATATTCTTCTCAGAAAAAAGAAAAACGAACCACCATACTATGTCAGAGGTGCAATGTACCCTTGTGCAAAACATGGTTTCACATCTTTTCATTTACATTAAATATTGATCTTAAGGTTGATCTTCACCCTCGATTAATTTGTTTCTGATCCTAGAGATGGCTCTACTGCGGCATGCTACTGTGGTAAATTTTTTTAACTTAATTGTAGATTTCTACATGACGACTCTGTAATATTTTTAAATCCTAACATAAATTGCAGTTTTCTGTCATTATATCAATTGGCTGAGTTGCCAAGTTGTGTAGACAGTAATTTTATCAAATATGCTATAACTTATAATGGTTACTAGTAGACCAACTAAGCAACGATATCTTATAACAACATTTTTATGTATAATACTTTACTGTTCTGCTATGTCAGTCGGAATATAATATACCAAATTCATTCATTATCTAAACAATTTTACCGACAAAGAAATTATGTATGTTGCGGCTTTGTTTGTGAGTATAGTATTACATACCATTAAATTCGTACATCATATTATATTACATTTTTGTTGATAGTTAAAAATTAAAAAATGATCTGGTATTATAATTAAGTAATATTTTAGTGGAAAATGACAAAAATGTTATTTAAATCTGTTTATTAATATCTATTACTATATGTCTTTATCGATTAATAAATTTTACTATGTCTTCTTCTTCGGTTATATTTATATTTTTTATTTCATGCTTCATTGTTCTGGCTTTATTGGTCTGTTTATTCTTATAATTTTTCTTTTAATAATTCTTACTTTTTCTTCATCTTTTTTCGTATTTTTTTTATTTTTAAGTAGTGGGTGATATTTCCAAAACACCCCGTTCTTTTCCCGCCTTGTGTTCTTGGTGGTCATACGTTGAATGTATGATTTGGAGTGGTTGATGCGTATTTAGTTTATTACGGTTCTATTTGGTCCATTTAGTTCTTCAGTTTCCGTATTCGACAATTTTATAACGCCAAATGAGGACTATGTGAAAGGTGTTATTGCGTAAGTGTTTATTGCTTTTTACTATGTGCTTGGAATTAAGTTTGCTTTTGAGTATTATCCAGATTTAGCCATACGGCTCACACTCCCTCTAAGAGGAAAATTCACTCATCCCAGATACCTACGGTATCAAAAGGATTGAGCTCTGGTGGACTCTTTCTATATTATTGAGCCCTAGGTGACTTGGTATGCTGGAGTATCTCCCAAAAATTTTCGTAGGCATCTGGACGTCGCGAGGAGTACAGCTTTATGTATGGCATTATAAAGATGTTCATTTAGATCCAGCTGTTTTATGTTCGCTAGGGGATTTTTGGGAATAACACGAGTAACATGAGTATCCAGATTTAGCCAAACGGCTCATACTGCCTCTAAGGGGAAAATTCACTTATCCCAAATACCTACGGTATCAAAAGGATTAAGCTCTGGTGTGACTTTTTCCATGTTATCGAGTCCTAGGTGACTTGGTACGTCGATGTATCTCCTAAAAATTTTCGCACGCATCTGGACGTGGAAAGTAGTACAGCTTCTTCTGCATGATAGATGTTCATTTAGACCCAGCTTTTTTATGTTTTCTAGGAGGTTTTTCGGAATGACTCCAGTGTTAGAAAGAATAATAGGTATCGTCTGGGTACTTTTCATTCTCCATTGTCTTCTTATTTGTATTTCCAGATCTCTGTACTTGGAGATCTTTTCATTGTACTTAACATGCAGATTATTGTTGTTAGGTATCGCCACATCGATTAGAGTTGTTTGTCTTGTTAGTTTATTAACTAGCACGAGATCTGGTCTATTATGTGCTACAGTTTGGTCTGTGAGCACAGTGCGATCCCAGTATAGCTTGTAGTTGTCATTCTCAAGCATACTCTCAGGAACGTAATTGATAATATGGGAGATGGTTTGTTTATAGAAATCCCAATTTAAAAGCTATCTCTTGATAGCTCTTCCCTACTGAGTCATGCCGTTCCTTATATTCAGTTGAAGCAAATGCCTGGCAGCCTCCGCTAAGATGTTGGATAGTTTCTTGGGCTTGACATTCATATCGGCATTTGTTGTTTTGGACCTGAGGGTTTTTGACGATATATTTCAGGTAATTTTTGGTTGGTAATAACCTGATCCTGAATGGCGAGTAATAAACCTTCTGTTTCAGGAAACATCTTTCCTGATGTCAGCCAATAGTTCGACGCTATATTGTCGACATAGTCTTGACTGACTTCATTCGGATGTCGCCCGTGCAGAGGTTTACCCATCCAGGTGCGCATTTTTTCGTGTTTAGTAAGATGGTTTATGCGCATTTCTTGTTCCCTCAGATTGATCGGTGTTGTGTCATCTACTGCGCAAATCGCGCGATGAACAGTAGATGTCTCCGCCTGCACCTGAAAATAAGTTCTTAAATTAGTAATCTGTTTATCTAATTGCTCGCTTATATCAATAAGTCCTCGTCCTCCTAAATATCGCGGTCATGTCGTTCTTTCTACTGCACTTCGAGGATGGTGTTTTTGTGCCTTTGTGAGGTGTGTTCGTACTTTTCTCTGAAGAGTTTCTATATCCGTTTTAGTCCATTAAATAATCCCAAATTGAATAGCTAAGCGCGGAAAATGCGTAGGTGTTTAATGCCTTAAACAAATTTTTACTATTAAGATGTGAGCGGAGTAGCTGTTTTACTCCAAGATATTTATACATGTCATTTTCGCCCACAGCCTCGATGTTTTTGGCCATTTTTGCATATCGAATCCGACGGGCTGAACCTTTCCCTTGACTATATTTAGTACACGACATTTGTCTAACCCAAAGTGCATACTGATATCATTTGAAAAATGTTCTATAGTTTTTAGCATTTGATCTAAGTGATTTCGAGTGGAAGCCATGAGTTTCAAATCATCCATTCATCCATATACAACAGATGATTAAGCTTCGTCACTACAGTGTTGTTGTTTTTAATGCTGAAACCTGAGTCAGTGGAGTTCAATAGCTGGGATAGTGGGTTCATCGCTAGACAGAACCACAAGGGACTCAGCGAGTCTCCTTGGAATAGGCCGCGGTTAATTGCGATATTTTCCGTTTCGATATTTTTTCACCAGGTACTTGGAGGTGAATTTTAGTCTTCCAGTCTGTCATTATATGTCTTAAGAAGGTTACTATATTATCATCGACTTTATATATTCTTAATATATCTACCAGCCATTCATGCGGCACTGAGTCAAAGTCTTTCTCATAGTCAATAAAGGCAGTGAAGAGATTCCTTTTTTTTTGTGTATGCCTGGTTAGAAATGACTGAGTCGATAAGTTGTTCTTTGCAACCCATGGAGCCCTTAGCGCATCCTTTCTGTTGAGGTTCTATGAGTATTATTATTATTATTATTATATAATGATATTGAGCCAAAGCAGAGCTTATGTGGCCCAAATTACAAAATATTTGTATGTACTAAACTAAATAATATAATATAAATCAAATTTTCTCACAAAGTAAAAATAAAAATAATTTTTAAAAGAATTAGTACTTACAAAAAGTTCTGGCAATAGCAAATTACAAAAATTTAAATATTACCAAGTGTACATAAGTTTTCAAAAGAAAAAAAATACAACCAATATAATTAACATAAGACTAGGTACAATATTTTGTTCGTTGTCATCAAACTTGTTTTTGAAACTATTTATACAAACTAGTAGCTTCTACTATGTCATCACTTAAACCGTTTAATTTATCAAAAACTCGGTTAACTAAAAAGTTTTGCCTTAAGGTGGTTTTAAAATACTTCTTTTTCAATTTATAGTTATGTCCTCTTAGTCTACCACCCCCTCCAAAAATCCCCACTAAGAATTATATAAGTAGATATGACATCATATCTTTCTCGTCTAACAGTTAATGGAGACAACTTAGCTTTAGCTTTCTTTAAAAGCTTTCTTTAAAGCTTTCTTTAGCTTTCTTAGTCGGGTTTCATAGTCTAATCTTCTATAATTAAAAGGTAGCTAGGTCTCTCTTAGTTGTACTCCTTCTAATAAATTAATGTCTTTTTGCAAATGAGGTGACCAAACTGACACTGCAAATTCTAGGTCAGGTCTGACATAACTTTTGTAGAATTTCAAAAACATGTCTGCAGATATTCTATGAAAAGCTTTTGTGATAAATAATAAAGCAGAGTTCGCTTTACTAACTACTTTTGGTGTTTGAGTAGACCAACTTATTGTTTGACAAAAAATCAGAAAACTTAGCATGTAAAGAAGCAATATTAGTCTAAAAAATATTTATTGTTGTCAACTATATTTGTTTTTTTTTTGCGGAATTTTGTTGGTTTGTACTAATAATAGTTTAGAACTTTATTAATATACTTTATTGTTAGTTCCTTGTTAAGTAGATTACGTTTTTCCAGTTCCTCTCGCACTTTATTCAAATAGTTTATTTGATATTTAGTTAAGTCATCCTTCAATTGAATTCTAGAAAATTTGGTTTCTAACAACCTCATATTATTGCGCAACATAAATAATGGACTATCATTATCTGCAAATTTAACCTTTAATATCCGTTATGCAAGGAACACTATTGTTTATAAATACTAAAATAATTTACTAAAAACGCCTAAATAGGTTTTTAAAACTAAATAAGTTTTTTTATAGATATAATACTTATAGAGTGTAAATTTTATGATATCATACTTTCAAAATAAAAGTTGCAGTATCTACTATTCTGTAAGTCTGTAAGTTTCAGCATGACCAGTTTAAAATTCAAACCGATAACATTCCTACTAAGTTTTGTTATATTCTGCCAAATTGTTGTACAAACTAATTGATATGGCAACCCTGTTACTATGTCGTTTCGTTTGAAGCGTTTCGAAGCCGAACGTAATGCTATCTATCGATGATAAATACTACCACTGTTTTCAGATGGAGCCATCTCCCTATATTACACATTTGAAGGCGGCAGTTCAAGACATAATTCTTGTTTAACGAGATTTTTCATATGTTTAGGAAAAAATATTTAACGTTTTATTGCAAATATTTTCCACTTTTACAGTTTTATATATGTTGTTATTAAAAAAATTTTTGGTTTCTTACCGGAAGCTTTATTATAAGCAGAAACATACTATTTTTTCCTACTGAGACAAAACTGTAAATTCAAAAATTAAAAAAAAAATTCCTAAGTATTTCTTATAATTATATCTTGATGCTGTAAAAAAATTAACAAAATTATATGTCTGGTTTTCCCGCTTTATACTTGGAAAAAAGTAGTTTTTTTGAGTTTTTTTAAAAACGAAAACATGAAGTTTGCTTAAAAGTTGTCAAAACATTTCTAGTCATCTCATACACCTTCTCAAATTTTTTCAAATTTTTTGAATTTGGAATTTATTTTTTGGGGGGTGCAGATCAACCTTAATTTTAGTCCTTTTGTTTTCAAAATATGAGATTTTATTTGTATTTTCGATTTTTCTTTACCAAAATAAAGTAATAATTTAGTATCTGATGGGTTCTTATAATCCCAAATATATGTTCAAAAAGTCTGACTGGGACATATTTGTCTCGGACAAAATGGCCGATCTCAAAGATAAAATGAATCACAATCATTTATATTTTTACATAATTATTCGTTTTAAAAAAAAAGTTCTAAATTCTAAGTTCTAAAATATTTAACGTACCTGATCCAATCTTATATTGGATAATATAATTCAAAATTGGGCTATTTCCTGCGTATGGTTGGGTCCATGAGACGCCGATTGACCTCGACAACTGATCCATGACTCGAACATTTCTGGGAGGTTCTGGAATTTCTTGGACAATTAATTGGATATTCATATCGTCGTTTCCGTAAGCATTGTTGGCAGAACAAATGAATATTCCTGTATCTTGTCGAATTGTTCTTTCGATACCTAATTCTGATACCATTCCTTCTGCTAACACTTGTTCTCGTATTGTGTACCTGAAAATCACGACTGAATCATAGTCTAAAATCTCAAATATCATAACAAACAAAAAATCTTTTTATAGAGACTTAATTAATAATATTAATATTATTTAACCAGTGTAAGTATAATATTATTATTATATTAATAATAATAATATTATTACAAAAAACTGTAGAAACTTTTTCAAATGATATCAGTATGCACTTTGGGCTAGACAAGCGTCGTGTACTAAATATAGTCAAGGGAGAGGTTCAGCCCGGAGAATTCAATATGCAAAATGGCCAAAACATCGAGTATATGAGCGAAAATGACATGTATACATATCTAGGAATAAAGCAAGCGCGGAAAATTAATCATAAATACATAAATGAAAATCGAATTAGCTTGATGAAAACTGAGATAACTACTGAGTTTATATGAAGGGTAATACAGCTACTCCGTTTACATTTAATAGTAAAAATTTGTTTAAGGCACTAAACACCTACGCATTTTCCGCACTTAGCTACTCAATTAGGATTCTTAAGTGGACTAAAACGAATATAGAAACTCTTCAGCGAAAAGTACGAACACACCTCAAAAAGACACAAAAACGCCATTCTCAAAGTGCAGTACAAAGAACGACATTTTTGGGTATTTAGGAAGACAAGGACTTATGAATATATGCGAGAAATTAGAAAAACAGATTAATAATTTAAGAACTTATTGTCAGGTGCAGGTGGAGACATCTACTTTTCATCGCGCGATTTGTGCAGTAGATAACACAACACCTATCAAACTGAAGGAATTAGAAATGCGCATAAACCATCTTACTAAGAACAACAAAATGCGCGTCTAGATGGGTAAACCTCTTCACGGGCGACATCCCAATGAAGTAAGTCAAGACTATTCAACAATATAGCGTTGAAGTATTAGTTGACATCAAGAAAGATGTTACCTGAAACAGAAGGTTCATTACTTGCCATTCTATGCCAACCAAAAAAACATGAAATATATCGTCAAAAACCATCAGGTCTAAAACGACAAATGCCGATATAGACGTCAAACCTAAGAAACCATCCAACATCTTACCGGGAGCTATCAGACATTTGTTGCAACTGAATATAAAGAACGGCATGACTCAGTAGGAAAGATCCTTCATCAAAAGAAAGCTTTTAAACTGGGACTTCTACAAACAAACCGTCTCCCATATTATCAATACGTTCCTGAGAGTATGCTTGAGAATGACAACTACAAGCTATACTGGGATCACACTGTGCTCACAAACCAAACTGTAGCACAGAATGTACCAGATCTCGGTTATAGATCAGTTAATAAACTAACGAGACAAACAACACTTATCGATGTGGCGATACCTAACAACAACAATCTGCGTGTTAAGTACAAAGAAAAGATCGCCAAGTACAGAGATCTGGAAATACAAATAAGGAGACATTGGAGAATGGAAAGTACCCAGATAATACCTATTATTCTTTCTACCACTGGAGTCATTTGGAAGAACCTCCTAGAAAACATAAGAGAGCTGGGTCTAAATGAACATCTATGCAAGATCTTGCAGAAAGTTGTGATACTCTCAACGTTCAGATGCGTGCGAAAATTGTTGGAAGATACACCCACATACCAAGTCACCTAGGACTTGATAACACAGAAAGAGTTCCACCAGAGCTCAATCCTGTTGATGTGTCTGGGATGAGTGAATTTTTCCCTTAGAGGAAAAGTGAACCGTATGGCTAAATCTGAATATGATTAATTAAAATTATTATATTTTTTACTATAGGTTTCCAGTTTATTATTTTTCAAATACCGTCCAAAAATAAAGTAAATAAATAAGTTAATAGATGACCTACTTATTATTGAAACAAGGTCAAAGAGATTACCTTTGATCTCCATCTTTGGATATATGTTGACCTCCGACTTTCCAGCCTATTTCCATTGGCGTATCTCCAAGAGCAGAACATTGCAGATGGGCTTGTTCTCCTTTAACCACCTGAAGTTGCTTGGATTTTTGAGTAAAATATGCTGGAGCTAGAAAGCAATTAAACAGGTTATAATAGGCTACATTGTTAAATTTAGAGTACATTAATTACATTAATAAATTACACTTAAAATTAAGATAACCGTTTAAACTATTTAAATACTGATTTTAAAACTAATACAATCAGCAATAGGAAAAAGTATAAAGTGACAAATCAGTCAGTTACTTATGGAATCTCTTTTTCTCTATTCGATCTTTTTACCCTTCCTAGTAGGCGAGGAGCCAACCAAATTATCATGACGAGGGGGGAAGATATACAATATGTCTCAAAACTTACATTTCTAGAATCCCTAATAGATAGAGAAAACAGAACAAAGGCAGAAACTCTGAGCAGAATCTATCTAACTAATCGATCCTACAAGGTACTTTTGGGATATCTAAAATGATATATATTTATTATGGCATATCAATGTCGGATCTCTAAAACCCTTATCAGACCAGTGCTCAACTATCTTGTAATAAACTTGATAAAGCTTGGCAGACTAACATGGATATCTGAATCAGCAAGAATATTAACCCAACCACAAATGGTGGCAAAGCGACTCAAGGGGCGGCCAAAATATGATATATTTACTAAGTACAGAAGGATTTAATGGAACTCGAAACTAGAAACTAAAGAACAAAAGCTAGAAATAGAAATGAATAAAGATAATTAATTAAACAGGCCAAAGCCCAAACTGGGTTGTTAAGCCAATAAATGATGAATAGAGAGTTCGAGATATAGATATGATATGACCATGTTTATCTACACTGAATTTAATTAATATAATTTCTAATTAGCTGAATTTTTACCTTCGATATACAGTTAAGCGTGGATTATCCGAACGTCGATCAACCGAACGACCCGTTATTCAAACTCCCTACTACCACAATTTTTACAAGACACTGATTCATTAATTCATTGTCACTCAACATTTAACATAGATAGGAGGGTCATTTAATATCCCAGGAAGAACCTATTTGTGGTCCTACTCTATGTGAAAAAGCAGTTCAATTTAATGAAAAACTCAGAGGTTCGTCAAATTTTCAACCAAGCACAGGCTGATTAAAACGATTTAAGTCGAGAGATGGAATTCGTGAACTCCAAATACAAGGCGAAAAACTATCTGCTCATTCATCAGTAGTAGAGTCATTCAAAATAAGACCAAGTGAATTACTGAAGGAAAAAAATTACGTACTCAAAAACGTTTACAATGCAGACGAAACTGTGCTCAATTGGAAAGTTTTTCCAAGAAAAACTCTTGCGTGACGGCGTGAATTAGCAGCACATGAATTTAAAATAACCAAGGATCGTTTCACTGCCTTAGCTTGTGCTAATAAAACTGGCAACCACCGATTGCTCATGCTTGTTATTGGTAAAAGCAATCAACCACGCTGTGTAGTATACTTTGCAAAAGAATGCTTGGATAAATAATACAATTTTTATGGAATGATCTTTATAGGAACTTTTATATCCTCCGTTAAAGCCCATCAATTAAAAAATGGTAAAAGAGAGAAAACATTATTGCTTCTTGATAACGTCCCAACTCATCCATTATGTGACATCTTAAATGAAAAAGACGATTTATGTTTCTTCCATCTAATGTGACTTCATTATTATAGCCCATTGATCACGGTGTTATTGAAACTTTCAAATGGTTTTATAGAAAAAATTGATTTGTAAGTTACTTTTCAAAAAAGAAGGGGAGGAAGAAGAAAGAGTGGAATAAAGTTTTTGGTTTATTAAAAAATAGTAAAATAGTGGACAAAAAAGGAAATATACAAAAGAAAACAGGAAGATAAGTCTGAAATGATAGATATGCTAAAAAAACTCAATTGCGACGGATGTGATGAAGAAGAAGTTTAACAATAGATGGATTTCGACGATGATGATCCCAGGTACCAAAATATGCAAAATAGTGAAATTATAGAGCAAATAAGTAATAAAACTGACACCACATCTAGCACCTCCGTAAGTGCAAGTTCAGATAATGAAGATGAAAATATAATTGGTGCTTCAGAAGCTTTTATTTGCTTAGATATGGCCGTGCGTTGGTTTGAAACACAAGCTGAAAGTGACCAGTATCAAACAACTGTCCTTAAAAACAGTTCGCAAACGAGTTCGGATTTGTTGGTCTCTCAAGTACGCTTCTTGTAGACGAAAATTGAAGATTTTTTAAGCGTTAGTAATTAATGCTTAAAATATCTTCAATTTTCTTCAATATTGTATCCAAAAATATGTTGTTGCAAAGACTGAACTTTTTTGCTTAATTCCTATTTGTCATTAAAGATATAAATAAATATGTAGGTATATAAATATGGCTTTTATTTGTCTTTTTATTCTTCAGCCTTAAGTAATCCAACTTTGGATATAGGCCTCCCTCAAATCAATCCAGTGTCTTCTATTTTGTACCACTTGCTTCCTGTTGTGTCCTCCGATCTTCTTAATGACATCAGCCTATCTCATTTGTGGTCTTCCTCTGCTTCTCTTTTCTAACCATGGTCTCCATTGTTGTATTTCGTGGTTCCATCACTTATCCTTCAGTCGGAAATTGTGTCCTGCGTAGCTCCATTTTAATTTGGCAGCATGTTTTCCTGCGTCTTTTACTTTCGTTTTGTATAGAAGCAAAACGAAAGGCTCTCATTCCCTTTTGGATAAATATGTATGACTGTAATCAATGTAGTTCCATTATCTTAACAAATCGGTTTTCCGAACAGCTATGCCCCCAATTAGTTCGCATAATCGACGCTCTACCGTATTGTAAAATTGAATTGAAAACATATTGCAATGTGGCTAGGAGGACCAATGCAGAATTTAAATGTCATTTATCCGGTCTTCTCAATCGACTTATTCATGTATGTTTCTTTTTTATTTAGCTGACATGCTGCACCGTGTATTCAATTTGTTAAAACAAAACCTCCTTTAGCAAATTAGAGTATGGTATGATAGACCTTTAGCGCTTTTTTAAGTTATGCTCTTCAAACTATCATGTTTTAAATCTATGTTAAAACGTGTTCAAGGCACTTAAGGAACATGTATAAAGAATTTGATTGTGTATTTGATTTAAAAGTTGTTATTATATTTTCAAAGCAACAAATTTAAATTCTTACTGAGAAACTAGATTACCAAAACTACAAATGATCTCACCATTCACTCGTAAGTGTATCACTTTACTAACTCCAGTACCAATGTTGTTCTTTCCTTCGCACAAGTAATGTCCTTCGTTCTCCTTTGATATGTGCATGAATATTAAACTACCGTTTTGGTATTGTTGAACATTTGGTTCAAAGAGAAAATCTTTGTACTCTCCGGGTTGTTCTCCTAAAACAGTAATCACACAATAATTGTCACATGCACTAAATTAAAACAATAATATTAATCTTTGCCTTACCGACAGCCTTTTTCCAAGTTATAATAGGTTTGGGATATCCATCAGCTTGACAATGAATCACCGCTTCTTGTCCAGCAGCTACACTTGAATCGGCCGGTTCTACGGTCCAACGAGGAGGAACTGAAAACACAAGGCGTATGTACTTTTTTCAAAACTATATATTTATATTGTTCTGAAGCTATTATCTTGTGGCATCTTAAAGCAATTACTATTTTAATGGGAATAAACTACAATTAAAGTTTGAAATAAGTTTATTGACGTTTCAATTTCCACTTCGGAAATCGTTCTCAAAATACAGACATTAATAGATTAAACAAAATTTGTTTAATTTATTAATGTTTGTATTTTTATCGGCGCTTTATCATATATTGGACCTATTTTGTTGTTTGATTGGATTTCGGCTATTACAGAATCATCTCGTCATACAAATCGCCACCTGTCGGCTACATCCTTTAACTATGCCCAAACCATCTAGCACCTATCATCGTAAGAAGACATTCCTTCAGCCTATCGCTTCTTCTCTCTCTCTCTCTCTCTCTCTCTCTCTCTCTCTCTCTCTCTCTCTCTCTCTCTCTCCCTCTCTCTCTCCCTCTCTCTCTCTCTCTCTCTCCCTCTCTCTCTCCCTCTCCTCTCTCTCTCTCTCCTCTCTCTCTCTCTCTCCTCTCTCTCTCTCTCTCTCTCTCTCTCTCTCTCCTCTCTCTCTCTCTCTCTCTCTCTCTCTTGAAACAATGTATGAAAGTCGAGGTAACGCTGAAAACGATATAACCTATAATAACTTGTGAGGTATTACTAGAAATAGAACATGATTATTTGAAAAACGTATACCATTCTTACAGTATGACCAAACCAACAAACATCCTTCGATATAATCTTCTCTGATTCTCTGATTGAGTACTACTATACACGTAACGTGCATTACTATGCAGTACTTTTATTCTAAATATGCGTATCATTTTCATGAAAATTATTGAATACAGATGTATTATGAGTAGCGTACTATATTTTATCTACGATAATTCGGGTAATAATATAAAAATCACCGAATACAAATGGTATTGTGAGTTGCATACTTTATTTTATCTACGGCAAGTCAGGTAATGTTATGTTTTGTAGGTTGGTATTGTAAGAAATAGAAATATACAAGCATGGTATAAAATACAATAAATGGTTTGTTATATGTTATTTGTTTGTTAATGGTACACATTGCGTAGTTTTTATCTCTACAACTGCAGTGACATTGTCGAAGCCAAAGTTCAATCCGTAAATATTTGCCATAAATAATCCAAAAACTGTATAAACTATACAAAAATGAATGTTTACCCCCGGCGAAGAATGTTACTTCAGACATATTTTTAACACCGAATACAATTTAGGATTTTGCATTTTCAATATAGATCATTTTCAATATAGATTTTCAATCTATATATCTATATCAGGAAAAAGGATCAGTTCAGAGTAGAAAAAAGAGTTCATAGATTGAGGGCAAAATCTTTCTATTCGCTGCTCAAGGCAGAACAAGAGGGTGTGAAAATAATTTCTTATGATTACCAAAAAACATGAACCTTTCCAAAGTACCAGACCAATCGTGTTATTATACAAGGCAATTATATCTTTTTAATTTAACCCTTAAGGAAGAAACTTCAAAGTCGCTACTTAATAATAACAACGTTTTCGCAAAAGTTTGGATAGAAACCACTTTCTTTAAAAAATTCTAATACTATAGCATCTGTAGTATATAACACCTAAACAAGACGTATCTCACCAATATCACTACCATTAGAATGATCTCAGGCGACTGCGGAGACCAGAATAAAACTTTCACCATAATCACGATGTGTTGCAAATGGTCGTTGGAATGTCCTTCTATTAAAACAGTAGAACTGGTGTTTCTAGTAACTGGTCACTTCTATATTCCAGCAGATAGAGTGTTTGGAAACAGTGAAAAGGAATTTCGTAAAAAAAAACACAATATTGAGTCTAAATCAGTACATTGATATAATTTTACAGCAGGCAACTGTTAAATAAAAGTAGGCGAAGATTTCATAGTGTATGATTTCTAAAAGGAAGCCGAAACAATACTGAAATCCCCCGGACAATGGAAAGAACAGATAGAATTACAAATAAAGAAGTACTGAAGAGGGCTGGTAAAGAAACAGAACTAATCACCATTATACAAACCAGAAAATTGGAATACCTAGGCCACGTGATGAGGGGACCAAAATATGAAAGTATGAGACTCATAATACGAGGAAAGATTCAAGGAAGAAGATCGGTTGGCCGAAGGCAGAACTCATGGTTGAAAAATCTACGTAATTGACATCAATACAGATCAATTGATCTATTTAGAGCACCAAGTTCAAAAATAAAAATAGCCATTATGATTGCCAACCTTCGTAGGGAGACGGCACTCTAAGAAGAAGATTCAAAAACGAGAATGTTTTCTTACTTCATGTCAAATCATGCACGATGGACGTTGCCGGATTTGATCCTGTGCCCCTGATAGGTCTATATGATACAAAAACTTCTTCATAAAGATTAATTAATAAACTGGTTTTAAACTTATCGTTACTTCGTTTACAAAACTATACAGTAGCAACCCACATCAGCGTTTATGAATTCACCATTTAGTTGAATTACATGCCATAGTTTTAGCGATAAAAAATGAAAACCGATAATTATAATTAACGCCAGTAGCGGTAGACCCCTTGCATAGTTTCTCTGCTGGCGGAAATTCATTATTGGAACATTTCCCCAAAGTTTTAACTCGGGGAAAATTCTACGCCTAAACCCATGACACTTCTTTAAATATATACCTGCGAATTCGGGAATACTAATGTCGGTGATCTTTGATAAGAACTTATAGATGAATGGTTTTGTTTGAAAGTTTGGTTGTTTATTAGTTTCGTATCGACTTGATCAATTTGGTTCGTTGTTGAAAGTTTTCAACAAAAGAAAAGCTAAATATACAGCCAATATGAACACAAAGGGCTTCATAGCTTTAGAAAGTTAATTAATGTTGTTTGTTTAATATCTGAAGGAGCAAAACTTAAACATGTAAATGTTAAGGTCTTATATTATAATACTTTGCCAAGTTTATGTATTGCCAAGTTTATTTGCTGCATTATTCTTATATCATGAAAAAAATTAGATTAGAATTCGAAATAAATAACATTAATATATATATATATATATATATATATATATATATATATATATATATATATATATATATATATATATATATATATATATATATATATCCTCTAAAATAACAGCTGATCTGGTAGATGAAAAGGAAATTGAGGTTAATTGGGTATACAGCTGATTAAAAGCCAAGTGCACTCTGTTCAACAGTTCATTATATTTCGCCAATTTTCATTGGCATCATCAGATGAAAGCTACAATTATTTAAAACATGGTAAAATACATTCAATAGTTGTTTGTTGTTTATATCTTACTTGGTTGAGATTAACGGCAATATGATTTACCTTAACATCAAAAAGGTTTGTGGGTACAATGTGGATTGCAGCTATTTTGAACATGTAACATGTAGTTGTATAATTTACGTTCACAATTAAAATATTAGAAACAAACACGATACAAATTAAAACAAAACAAACACAAAAACGTTTAATGACAGTCTGCGAACAGTTAATTGGGCATAATATTTCTAATGTGACATGAGAAATTAAAAGACCATATTCATATTTAGAATTCAATTTAAAATAAAAATTTTCATACTTCTCAACCACGAGCAACGAGCATATAAATTTTGAACACCCTGTATAAGACAAATTTTGTAAAAATAGTTATAACCAGTTTTTAAGAAAGTGATTCTCGGAGTTGTGTACTAACCACAAGAACAATGCATTCCAAATAAACGATTAGGGAGTTGGAGGAAGAAAGTGTTTTTCAAACGGTTCATCAAAACCAAGGACAATGGGTAATTTTATTTAATAGAAGAATAGATTATTTAATTTTTCAAGAAATGCGGATATTGGGTACATTATAGATAGTTAAAATATACCGGGGAGGTACTGGGTTCTCGGGATACAGTTTCATGTTGAATATGCCGCAATGTTTCTGTAATCAGTAGGGCCATCAATTTGATATAGTTAAAATATACCTGTGTATTACGATTTGTAAAGATAGATTAAAATATAAATAGTGTAGAAAATAGAATTAAAATATTTGGAATATTATTTTTTTTTGGAAATCCATTATGGCATGTTTAAGAAGAAGAAAATAGTTTTGTGGAAAATACGTCATGACTAAAATTTGTTTTGATTGCTTGTAAAATTAACTCATGGGGGGGGGGAATGATTTTGGAAGGATGAAATGAATGAGTAAGGAAGGCAGTCTGTTTGGTTGGATGTAGATTGTGAATGTAGTGTACAAGAAAAAAAGGATGGAGTGTTGGTTTTGTCAAAAGTGACAAGATTCATATCGTTGGAACGAGGAATGAGGCCAATTCGAGAGAAGATATAACTCCTTGATTCTAAAGTATCCAGTAATTTTTAAGTGGTTTCAAAAGGGTGGAATACCGCATCAGGAGAAAGCCAGAACGAATACTGTACGAGGCAGAGCAAGAGAAATGAGAACGAGATTGCAGAGGAGCAGGGACATTTTTGGGAAACGTGGACAAGTTTCTTTGGATTGCAACATCAGCAAATAAGAAGAGGTGTTTGTGTGAAGACATTGGCTAATTATCAGCGAAGGTCAGTTTAATTTTGTTATGACGTGAATGTATGATTTGCGTATTAAATACCACAGTGCATTTTTAACTACACATTTCACTATTATAAAATCATTAATCTCAGGAAAATTTGTTACTTATTTGGACATAGGTCTCTCCCATTTTTCCAGTCTTCACGGTTCTGTGCGTCGTGTTGCTATTTCTTGGATATTCGTTTAAAATGTCGTCCATCCA